TTTGGTTGACAAAGGGATCAACAAGGTGACCGCATGCAAAATTCTGCAATTGGTGGGTGAGGTCCGATATCGACCGGGAGGACCGGAAAAGGCAGTTCCTTCTGATGCATCTGTACGAGTACAACAATCTTCTGGGAACAAAGGGACTGGAAGAGCGGCGGTGCGAACCCTCACTCAGGTGCGTGAAGCTGAAGACTCCGGTGCAAAAACGATGCCGAGAGGCTCCTATCGGGAGCTTTTTGATAAGGTCAAGTACCGTGACGCTTGGACGCTTGCGCAGAGGTCTCCGCTGTGTGTACAGAAGCTGAAGTTGGTGGGAGTTGGAATGCCACCGGTGAATCCACCAACAAAAAAATATCGGTCAAGATCAAACCCTGTGAAAAGGGGAAGGCCCTTGCTGGACAAAAAACAGGTGCGACAGGTGCCACGCTCTCGCTCACAGCGACGAGCGCAACCGGCGGAAGTGGTGGAGAAACCAAAACCACTGGAACTGAAGCCTCGTGGTGGGTTGTCGTATCGGTTCAGCAGAGCGTGGGCAGATGTGGTGGACGATGATGATCAGGCGGAGGCTTTGGTTTCTTATGCCGCTTCCTCAAGCGATTCAAGCGAGGAAGAGACCAATGCTGTGCACCGCATGCGGGAAATCCTTTTGCAAGAAAGGGATTCACAGAGAACTGCGATTCGTGGCAATGTTCCGATGGGTGGTTCTTCCGGCCCCAATGCCGGGCAGAAAAAATCGGTTCACCTTGGCAAAGAACGCGACAAAGCGTCGCGGGGGGAGACCCGCCAAGAAGTGACTTCTCAAGTTTTTTCGCTACCACAACCTTCTCGTCGAACTGAACAGTCTCAAAAAAGAGCAAGGGATGGCTCAGTTATGGTTGGTTCGCTGGCGGTGGGCTCCACGGATGAGGTTTTACCTGGGCAAGGTGTTGCTGGACAGGTGAATGGATCTGAAAGCGCTCAAGTTCTTCCTGGGCATGAAGTGGCTGGACAGGAGACGGCGCTGGAAGGAGCAGTGCAAATTCCCGGCGAGGAGACTGACCAAAATGAAGGAGAAGGTGGGAGCAATGATCTCCGTGGTGATGATGCGAAGAATTTGGACGGTGGTTTGGTGAGGAGTGACCTTCAGCAATTGCTGGTTAAAGGCCTTCTGAATCGGATTTATTGGAAGGTGGCAGTTGGCAAGTTGCCGGTCGGGCAAAGAGACTGCCAAAAAGGGTCCAATAAGATGGATCGAAATTTGGTTATTAGCATGTCATCCGAGGGTGCAAGCGAACAGGATGAGAACCTGGCACTGGAGGACGATGCTGATCAGTCAATGGGTGACGGTGCGATGGTAGTTCTGGTGTATGATCCAAGGACGCTGATTCAGTCGCCAACAACTGATTGGGTTATGCGTCGTGGTCTGACCGATCGTTCCATCTGGCCAGCAATGGCGTACACAGCACAGAGAATATGTGCTGAAATGGTTCAAGTGGATGAACTGAACGCCCAGTTGAATACTGGGAGACTCCTTTTTGAAAGGAGAGATCAAGGATATTATTGTGATTTGCATCATTCGTTCCATGACAATCCGTGCTTGCCGGTGGTGGGAAATTATCCTCTTTCGGTGATGGGTGCACTGCTTTCTCCTGGCCTGGAAAAGGAATTCAGGGATACTGGAAAGTTTGGAACTGCTATGGAGGCAATAGCCTATGATTGGAGTCGCAGTCCAGGCATGGAAGTTCATGTGGAACTTATGGCAAGGGTAGCCAATCTGGTCGCTCCATTCCTTAGACTTGGTGGCCAAGGAACAGTGGTGAATTCCGAGTTTCTCTGGCAGCACGGGAGGGACCAAATGATGGAGTTCCTCCAGGCAGCGACTTGCGCTGATCAATTGGAAGTTCTCTGGAACAGAATGGACGACGATGCTGATGAGGAAGTGGATCCTACAGGAATGGTGCTGGAGATCCCCGATCAACAAGATGCGGTACTAGATCAAGGGAACAATGAATCCCTTATTCCCATTGAAGATGCTGGAGGTGAGACACTTGGTGACACTGGAAGGGATGGCAAAGCGCCAGAAGTCTCTCCGGAAGAGGAGACATCCAGTGGGTCGTCAAGACTGGCGGGCACAAGGATTTTCTTGTGGTCAGTGTACTCTCGCGTTGCTTCCAATTTCTCTACGCAGGACCGCACTACTGGGAAGATCTTTGACAGCACAAAGGGGTATCCTGGTGAAGGACCAAACAATGGTGACAATCCTTCCTCTAAGAGGAACTTACCCTGGATCTCTGAAGACTACCTCGACGAAGTGGTGTCAAAAAAGATGGAAAGGTCTTCAGATATGGATGGGCTGGAGGGGTTTGTTCCGGGAAGTGAGGGATCGTTGGAAAAGGTAGAGGTGGAGAATGTTACTGCCTCTAAAATTCTTATGGCTCTTTGGAAGAAGGGACATAGAGTTGGTTATAGGAGGTTGTGTCGTTTGAACGCATCTGGATGCAAGGTTGGAACAATGAAGCGTCCAATCAAAAGGGTGCAGAAGATCGGCACTAGGAAAGCCCTCATGAAGAAGTTCAATGTTTTTGGATCGTCTCAGCATGGCTCAGGAGTTGGCGGAAAACCAATCATGAAGGTGGTAGGACCAAGGCCAGGTTTTCCAGCTGTACTCCAAGCACCAACTACTGATAGCACGTCGGGTGAAGGGAGCAGTCCCCAGGTACATGGCAATGTTCATGTAGAGCACAATCGCCCTATGGACCGGTATGAGGCAGAGCGCTTGGAGAAGAGGAAGAAGGGCTTCTGCTATTGGTTCAGCAAGGGGAAAGATCGCTGCAAATTTGGTGAAGACTGCAAATTCATCCATTCAGAAGATGATGTGGTGCTACATTCGTATTGGTGCAAATACTATGTGGCAGGGAGAGACTGTTTCGCTGGAAAGGATTGTGCGTTCTCGCATGATGCAACTGGTGTGAGGTGCATCCAGTTTGCTCGGTCTGGGAAGTGTCGTTATGGTGACAGGTGTGTCTTCGAGCATGGTGTTCCGCTGGATGAACAGAGGCCAAGGTCTCCAAGGACGCCCCCAAGGGATGGTCCAAGGAGAAGTTCTGGTGCAAATGGTGGAGAAAAGGAGATCTCTCCTGAACAGTTCGATGATGGTGAGGAGTATTCCATGACCTATGACGATGACACCAAAATGTCGGAACTGTTGATGGAAGCGATTTCAATTCTTTCGAATGGCAAACCAGACTTGGCTCGAGCAGAGGCGGACCCACTGTTCAAACTCCTGAAGTTCAAGGGAGACGCTGACCAGATGGATAGAGAATGGGTTTCGTGGACCGATGATATGTTGTCCGTGCTGGAACTTCACGAAGTAGTGAAGTCGTATGAGGTTTCGCTCGAGGAGGTGGAAGAATGGGTCAATGACCTGAGGATATGGTTCGAGCGAGCCAACTTGGAAGAAGAAAAAGATCCCAAAAGGGGCAAGAAGAGGTCCCTGGAAAGGGAGTCCAGCAAAGATATTCCTGCCGAGAAGGAGGTGGTTGAGACTTCTGAGACGGAAGTTATCGTTGAGGAGGAGGCAAAAAAGGTTAAAAAGAAGAGGAAACCTGTGGTTATCGAAGATCCTTATACTCTCCTGGTTCCAAAGCCGAAGAAGATGCCGGCGACCATTGAGAAGAGTGGATCATCAACCAATGCGGCGGTTTCTGCAGGGGAAAAAGCCTCGAGAATGCGCGCAAAGTCAATCGTCGGTGGAAAGGCGAAGAAGAAGGAGAAAAGTCAGAGTCCCAAAAAGGGAGAAGTGGTGGTGGTGAAAGGTCCTGAAGAAAAGGATCGTCCTCCTGATGTGGATGAGCAAGCGTCGGCAGCTGTGAGTGCAGAGCTGGGTCAACCTTGCCAAGCGATTGAGGACGCGAAAAGAGAAGGACTGGTATCCTCAATTCAAAGGGGCGTACAGGATCCTGTTCTTACAGTTTCAGACCTGGAGTATATTCTGCTGCAACTTCACCTCAAGATTGCCAACAATCGGAAAAAGAAGTGATTGGATGGTATGGATGAAGGGATGGTTTTTCTCTTTCTGGAGACAGGTGCGCTGGAACAGCCAATGGGCTGACAAATGTGGTGGTTACTATTAAGGGTATGGAAATCCCTGATAGTAGAAGTCAGTAGCTTTTCGCGTAGCGAAGACCACGGTTTGTGGTGAAGAAGGCCAAGGAGTCTTCAGTGATGAGAGGATCATGGTGAAAAGATTCTCTATGGTTAGTGGATTTAGCCAATGAGCTATAATTTCGTCCTGGTAGACGTTAAACCATATTGTGCATGTCAAGCAGCAGGCTACTGCCCTAATGGCAGTTTTTGGCCAAAGATCTGCATCTCCAATGTGTCCTAGGAAATCCTAGGACAGGGGGAGTGCGGAGCTGCAACTGGTATTGTAAAAAGAGTTAGTGTTGGAAGTTGAAAGGGTTAATAAACCCGGAAATTATTTTTTGGCTCAAGACTGGGCCATGTGCCTGGTAGTAAAAGGTGAGTGCCCTGTGGTTTGGGTTTGTTGTGTGGTTGATCCAGGGAAATCAAGGGATTCTGTTGGGGTTGACTTTTCGGTTTCTCGTCCCCCTTCGGGTTCCCCCCGTAGCACAGGGTTTAGGGTTTAGGGTTTAGGGTTTAGGGTTTAGGGTTTAGGGTTTAGGGTTTAGGGTTTAGGGTTCTTTGCGAGTTTCGGCGGGGCCCTTGGATCGAAGCGAGCATCGTGTGCTCGAGGACATGTGTCAAATCGGTGGTCTAGAAATTTGGAAGAAAAACCAAAAAAAAGACATCGCCTCACAAGCACGAAGCCCTTTCAAGCAGAAACCTTTCCGTCTTGGCAGGGGCGGCACGCTGGCCCAACTAAAGGCAGAGAATATCAGACTCTGGCTAAGTTGGCTTCGGGCTCAAGGCTGCTTTTGCGAACTCACAGGGCGCATGAGGATGCCAGGTCTTGGCTCCAGCACACACGGCAATCCGAGGTCGCTACAATCACCGACTCACTCATGCAGGTGGTTGTCAGCATGCACCGCTGCTCTCTTGCTTGTGCTACTGGTACTCTCCTCCAACGGCACACACAGCATGCCGACCACTGCGCATCCAATGGTGCAGAACCTCGGCTTCTTGGCTCGGGCTTGCAATGCTTGCATTAACTGCGGTTTTGGTTTTGGATTCCCAGTACCACGTCTCACAAGCCTTGCCAAACAATGCTGCTGAAGGGCAGCCTAGCAACAGTGAGGAGGTGACGAGGAAGGGAGTCGCGCCCTTGGCAGCAAAAGATGTCTCATGCTCGGAGAAGCGCGTCGCGACAAAGTTTCCAGCAATACTTCCGACAGATCCAAGCACATTCAGCAATGAGAAAACGCGCCCTTGCTGGGAAACAGGCACAGCAAGTGTGGTCAGGTGCTGGTAGCACACCTTCATGGTCCCGCACACTGCCAGAAAAGTCAAGACGTTCGAGATGTGCACCAGCTGGCCATAAAGAGAGGCATCTGGCTGCAGAAAAGCCAGTGCAGAGGTGGCGCCAGCAATCATTGGCAAGGAGCTGGCCGTCAGCCGATGGCCCAGCAGCCTTGTAAGCGGGGGATATCCCAAAGTACTCAGGATGATCAGGAGCTGCGACAGCAGCTGCAACCAGGCGTAGTCATGCGAGCCCAGCCCAAGCTTGCGGATGTGAAGCGGCCAGAGCACCGTAATGACCTGCCATAAAACAATTCCAGGCATGATATGCACCTCTCTAAGTCACTGCCTCAGCTAGTGAGGATGGACAACAGTTACTACAACCGAGTGCAGGTGCCAGTTTCATTGCCTGTTTTTGCATTGCATGCCTACCATCCACCCGTACACGATACAGTCTGTGCAATGTAACGAGAGTATGACCTGGCGGTAAGTCATTCGCTGTCACAAGTCAAGCCACGGTTTCGCCGAAGGTCTGGATGACACTCGTCACCAAAAGCAGGATGATCTGTGAATGCCTTGCAGGCTGCTCTGACTTCTTGAGGTCCCCCTTCCTGTCCTCATCCTGCAACCGCGGAAGTGTCAACAGACATGCTGTCCATGGAAACGCTGTATTTTTATGTACAAGTAGTTTGTAATTCTTGGAACTGCGCAACACCTCTACATGCCTGTCATTCATCTGGAACGTGCAACCATGGCCAATAGCATGTGGAACTGACATGTGGATCTGGCTTCCTGGCAGCACACGCTGTGCCAGCAACCCTTTCAGCTAGGAGCAGGCGCACGCTTCTGGAACCCCATTATTTGTTTCCACCGTTGGTTACAGATGACATAGCTAGAGTCAGAGTAAATGGTTTAAGAGAACAGCACCTAATGTCGCAAAAGGTTCTCCACATGCAGCATGGAAGCGTTTTGCTTGATTAAGCTTGCCATGTCTGGTTTAGATCTTGATTTTTCAACTCAGAGGCCACCACCTGTCGCCGCAACCTTGAGAGACTCGCATAGACACGCCAAGGCTTCAGCAAAACCTGTGCCCCGGTCCTCGACCCAAGCTGCGGGCTGAAATCGAAAGACCAGATAGATGAAGGCGAACACGCAAAAGATGCTGCACTCGCTCATGTGTATCCTCATCCATCACCGCATGCAAATCTCGGCAACCCATTTTTGGACGTTGCACACACCGGGGGTAGCATTTTCATTTTTGGACGTTGCACACACATGGGAAAGCATGTTGGCTCCTGTACCGCAAGAGTTTGTGCTCAACTCCTGCGAATTTCAGGAGGGAGTCGACCGCAGGGTAGAGCGAAGTGCCAATCAGTCTCAGGCATGCCACCTGGACCTCAGGGTCTCATTTCACGCGGAAAAAACGAAACATCTTTGCTTTCGGCTCCGTCAGCTCCTGTTTTTTGAGAAGTTTCTTCTGTGGCCTGGAAGCCCGTGACGACGACGTGGCGCTGCTCCCGCGGCGTCGCCAGAGCCACGTATGCCCCGACCACGTTCCAGAAGTTCACGGCACCCATGGCCAGGATGACACTCGCCACGTACAGGCCCAGCACGTCGGCTGCAAAGCCATGGATCAGGCACCCGAAGGTGCAGCAGAAGGCCGAGAGGACTGCCGGGAGGTATGCCGACCGTCGGTCTAAGAGCCAGCCATAGAATGGGGACACGAGCAGGACACCAGTCGTTCGTATGATCCCGAAGTTGCCGATTTGGGCCTCAGGAACCGTCAATTTCAGAAGGCAACTCTTAGTGTCTTAGTGAGGCTCTGTTTTCTGAGGGAACAGAACCACACAGTCAGAGATGAAGTCAAGGGGCGGTGGAAGCGCCTACCTCAACTTGAAAGTATGTGGTGACCGGCGCGTGCAGGGCGCCCCCGAAGGAAGCCACCCAGATGCCCAGCATTGGGACAAAGAGCTCCTGCCTGCGGACCATGCTGGCCAGCAGGCTGTACTGCTCGCGCCCTGCGTGGATCGCTTGCTCCATGGCCACGAGCGCCAAAGCTGCAAGCAGCGAACCTGGTTTTTCAACGCCTGCATGCCACCTGCGTTGCCATTCTGGCATGAGTAAGCCCACTGATTCGTTGTGCGTGCGGTACTCCTCTAGTTTGCAACACTATCTTGCCCGTCCCTTCGGACCACTTCATGCCAAAGAACCGTCCATAGCTGTAAGCCGTGCAGCGATGTCAAAAATAAGTTCTGGCACTACCGCCGCCAAGCTACACCATCAATCACCGTCATTTGCCAAGGAAGCAAGCATTTATGTTTGCTGCGAATGCTTACATGGAGATTGCCATGACAAGCTGAACCAAAAACAAGACACACTCCCACTATTTGCTTAAGACCACCCCCCAACAAAAAATGTTGCATATATATATATACACATATACATATATATATATAGACTCCACTAATGCACATCCATGCACCCACATCCTAACACCTGCTAACACCCATGCACATATAGATGTTAACACCCAAACACTAATCACTAACACCCAAACATCCATTCTAACACATGTTAACACCCATCCACCACATCCATTCACACACTTTAACACACACCCGCACACACACACACACCCTTATAAGGATTCTTGTCTTCTTGTTTTTTTTTTTGGGGGGGGGGGTTCTTAAGCAAGACTCACTGTTGCTGTCGTGATCATCGCCATTATACGTCGTATGTGTACACACACACACATACATAAACATCTATATATATATATATGAATTTATTTATTTACATGGAGATGTACTCTGTCTACAGATGCAGGTTGGAGTGATGTGAAGGCTGGGCGTGCGGCTCTGGCTACGGTGGGGTCCTTGAGCATTTGCGCTTGGACGTCCTTCGACGCGTGCACAAACCTGAGCCAAAAACGTGCTTTCGGAAGGGAACTGTAACGACAAACAATCGACAAACCATAAGAAGCACTAGCAATAGCAATCATGTTGAAACCCCGCTCATTCCCTTCAAAGAGTAAGAACAAAGGGGCCAACACCAAGCAGTCCAGCAAGCCGCAATGCTCAATGTGTTTGATCTTCTTTGCATCCCTTTTGCAACAGGCTTGCTACCTCGTTGCATCCCTTTTGCCCGAAACCCTAAACCCTCAACCCGAAACCCTAATATTGTGTGAAAAATCCCCGGCAGTCGGGCAGCTCCATGGCGATCTTCTTATTGTTGGTTGATGCTGTTTTGCTGGAGACCGGCCTCAACAAGCATGCCCCCGCAGCCATGCTGAGCTGTTACGAACAAGTGAGGTCCAGCAACACGCCTTAGAATTCACACGCTATGCAGTGCATCTCCATGCCGGCCAGAGCAAGCATCTTACTTAGTGCGAGGCGTAATGTGCTTTGTTGCCGGCGCTAGAAGGACCTGGCACCAGAGCCAGCACCCTGCTTAGTAGGGTTCTTCGATCGCATATCCTACCGATGCACCGTAGCCACAAATCTTCCGCATGTCTTCAAAGGCATGTGCCCAAAGCAAGCTGAGTGTGGAACCCCACAGTGTTGATCATTCGCCCATGGTGTTTGCAAGGCTCACACATCCGGAAGGCCCCGAAAGACCGAAATCCGCGATTCCGAGGCGCACCAGCTTCCCGGCCGGCCCTGCGCCCGGCGCAGGTGACTGCGGCAGAGAGGCTTAGTGAAACCCACGTGGTTTTGGAAGGGCGTCACCGTTCTGGCTTGAAGCTTCTCGCACAGGGCTTCAGAATGCAGGCAAAGGCTGCCACAAAAGAATTTGGGAGGTTGTGACATGTTGTGACAGACTTTGGCCTGCAAAGAGAGTTGGCAACAAATTCGAACAGTCGTGTTCAAATAGTCCACGTGCGAAAGTTGCGGAGGTGGACATTATGCACATTAACCCTCGTGTCGCATGCGTCGCCTTGGCCATGTTCAGGGCCATCGCAGGTCCTGTGTGTCCAGGTGGGAGCAGCCTGAGAGACTTCGCCAGCGTATGCCAGCGACCAGTTTGTTTTAGGTGATCGTGAGATATAAGTACGGGAGTGTACCTAATTTCGAAAACCCCCATACCCACTGTGCATCCTGAGGAAGCTACAGGGGGGCGGGCGGTAGCACGCCCGGCATCAGCCTCTGGCGGGTGCTGCTCTCATCTCGTGGTGCAACAGTGATGGTGCGTGCAGTCGCAGGGAGTCTCGAGGGCCCGGCCCCTTGCCAGCAAGGCCTTAGATGAGGCTTGGAGTGGCACATGGGGCCAATGTGATCTAAGTCTCCTGAGCAATTCCTATGGTACAAGGGGGAACTCTTCACGAAAAAGAAGGGTTTTTGCTATCAACGAGGGGCCTTTGCCACCGGTGGCGTCCTGAGCGACACGCAAATTCAAGCGGTGCCCGGCGCCCGGTGCAGCTCACGGGACACTGAGTGCCCCACCTCGCCCTTGCCACTGAAGCCACCCAAGCCAGGTGCCAAGCCTTTGCCCTTCCCTCCATCCTTGCCTTTCAAGGAGAACGCGGGGCCCATGGCATCCATCCGCGGCCGTTTTAACTCTGGCCCATCCTCGGGCTGGGAGATCCAATTCCCCTTCTCGCTGCGATCACCTTTGCCACCCCATTTGGCAAGACCTTTCCAGGCGCCTGGGGCACCAGGGCCCATTGGACCCATGCCCGGCCCAAGCCCGTCGCCCTTCTTGCCCCACTTGCCATCGCCTTTGCCCATCGCCAGCAGCCAATCTGCGAGGACTTCGGCCTGACTGGCACATCACATACCACGAGCAACACACATCAGCGTGACCGAGCAACCGACGTGGTCAAGTCTGGCAGCAGCCGCCCATGTGCTCGGCGCAGCTCAGACTTTGCTGGGGACGGATTGAGGGGTGTGGAAGTGAGGGGGGCTGAAGGATGCTGTAAGGGATCGTGAGGGTCAAGCGGGGCTTGGCTGGCGGCACTGTGTTCATGCCAATGTCTTAAGTCTGGCCGCTGGAATGGCGATCAGAGCTTGATCTACATTGAAATGCCAGACTGGCCACACCCCAGACTGGGCTGGCGTCCTCAACACATGGCATACTTTATTTACACGAATCGGTACGCTTGAACACAGCGGCGACAACAAACGGTTGGGGCAGTCCTAGCGAACAGATGCGAGCAGAACGGTGCGAGAGCGTGCATTCACATTCTGCGTCATTCCGCCCTTTTCAGCGGAAGTCGTCCGGCCTGGCTTCGCATCAACTCGTGGAGTTTTGAGCCAAACTGTCCCCGGGACTGCCACTTTCGGAGCTGCATTCTCTTCGACTCACATCGCCATCTTGTCAGCACCGCCTCCTTCAAGCGCTCAAGTCCAGGGCCCCGCCCAGCTTCACGGGGGGCACCGTCTGCTCCGAGTCCCCAGCTCGCCACCGTGGGGTCCGAGGAGTGGTGGGGATGTGCTGGCACCATATGGCACTATATATCCATGGTATAAGTCAAGTCTCCAAGCCTTTGGCGGAGAGCTGACTGGATTTCCCGCAGTGTCTCATTGAGGCTCTCCTGCACGGCTTCTTTTGCACGTTGGTACTGGGAGCTTAGCGCGCGCAATCGTTATGCAAGCACAAGAGCTAGTAACGCGGTCCTCGTAGAACCACCTGCGCAATTTCCGGCCGCTGGGCCACATGGTCATCAGAACGGATTTTGAATAGCAATCTACCTCGTCCAGGGGACTGGGCAGTCCTGTCGCCGCAACCCGGACCCTCCTCTCACAGCCTCTCAACAGCACACCCCTCACTTGCACAGGCACGTGGTCCTAGCAACTGCGCCGCCAGTCGATGGGCAAAGATAGCATTCCCAGCGCCATACCAGACAAGCTCCAAGCCAAACTGCTTCATGAGCTGGACCTCTGGGGGGAGGGGGAAGGGAGGGTTTAGGGTTTAGGGTTAGGGTTTAGGGTTAGGGTTTAGGGTTTAGGGTTTAGGGTTTAGGGTTTAGGGTTTAGGGTTTAGGGTTTAGGGTTTAGGGTTTAGGGTTTAGGGTTTAGGGTTTAGGGTTTAGGGTTTAGGGTTTAGGGTAAAAGGGAGCCGACCTGGTAGCTCAGCGAGCAGCCCCAGGGAGCAACCGGGGGCCAGGAGAGGTGCTCGCTGTCGTGGAGGGCGAAGCGCAGTGGAGGCGGCACGGCATCGCACACCTCCAGGACGACAAACTTCGCGAGGACCCTCCACAAAAACCTGAGCTTCGAGGGCGGAAAGCTTCGAACTTCGAACTTCCAGTTGCAACAACTTCTCTTTGGAAAGGCAAAGGTAAGCTCTGAGGTCGGCGCGATGCGACAATGTCACAATCTGCACCATCCACATCAACCTTGAGGACGTCAAGTCGCGGTAAAGAAAGAAGATCCGCGGAAGGCCTTTCCAAGGCAAAAGCTCTCAGGGTTTAGGGTTGAGGGTTTAGGGTTTAGGGTTTAGGGTTTTTTTTAAGGGTTTAGGGTTTAGGGTTCAAGACCCAGCACCAGATGAAAAAATGCGATGTTCACAGATCTGTGGGGCCTCTTTTGGCCGCGCAACCAGTCCGGCAGTCTCGCCACGATTTCAGACACGCTCGCTTTGGTGGCTCTCATGCAAAGTAGCGGCACATGTGGCAAGTTGCGGGCATGCTCCTCGCAGAACCTTCAGGCTGGAGAGGGTGGCAAAGCAGCATGATCTCGTCCCATCCCTTGCACATGCAGGCGAGCCACTCAGGCTTCATCTCCACCGCAAGTGAGAAGCGCACATCCGCAGGATTCTGCAGCAGAGGATACAAGGGATCTTCATGCACACCCTCTCGGGCACCAATGTTCACGAAGGTGTCCTCAGAAAACAAAAAATTAGAATAGAAGTGTTACAATTATGTGTTTTCGGGGGTGCAAAGAAGAGTTGTTTCAGGCAGCGCCAAGTGACCAGCTGTGCATTCCCCTGAAGCGCCCACCTCGGCGACAAAGGCTGTCCGCGTCACATGGGACTCGCACTGGACTAGCTCTGTGCATCTTCAGTGTCAACATTCTGCTCTCCATTTCTGCAAGCAAGCCCATAGCAGACATGCCCAGAATGCCCCGAAATGCCTCGACACCTAGGTGGTAAAGCCGGGGCGCGCTACGCTCTCAATATTGAATTGAACCTGAACTGTTTACCCTGCCCGGTGCAATGCTTGCCTACACGCCGCCACACCCCCCAGTTGCCCAAGCCGTAAACCCTACAACTCACCTCCGCGCCAGCCAGGGCAAGGCCGTGGTGTCTGCCATGGCCGCCTCCCACACAGTTGCTTTGAGATGTGTCTGCGTGTGCGAGCGTGTGTGTGTGTGTGTGTGTGTGTCTGTACTCTGATTCTAAGCTAAGGGTCCTGGACTTGTCATCTTCGTTTCTTTATAAAGTTTCTTGCTTCAGATTCGGCAAGGGATGCCAGGAAGTCAACAATGCTGGCACCAACGAAGACCGCTCTGGTTCCCTGTGACGGGTTTGTGGCACAAACCTGTACCTGCGATACATTCAATCCTTCTTGTGACATCATCCATCGTACCAGCCGTGTATGTTACCATACTTGATGACAGTCGCTGTGAAAGCCCAGACTACCCTAGCAATGCAACTCCATGTCCCTTGGCTGTTGAATCAATCGCTTCATGCAGTCCAGTGTCCGTTCAAACTGTGGAGTTCTTGTATACTGAGATCGTCAAAAGTTCAATATACAATTTGACACACCACTCTCTGCGTGTGTAACCTCTGTAAGACCTTGCAACTTGTTGCCATTTCAAGCGTAGAAGGCACGGAGGCAACGAAGGGTGGGGAGGGGTCTTGGCCGACGAAGACCCCAACCTTGTGTAAACAGACTTTCAAGAGGGCACCGCATGATTTGTGCCGAGCAGCATCGGCTGGGTTCCCAATAGTATCTCTGCCGAAGTGCTTATCCCCAGCCCCCATAAAGGATCCACGAGCAACCTACCAAAGATACCCAGGCGGCCCAAGACTTACTGTTGGTCAGTAGGGCATGGGGGGATGAGGTATATGGGGTACCCTATGTAATACCTTAAAGGGATTATATGGGGTATTCCCCCATTGATTCCCTACTATGCAACAGCAAGAGTGAACTGGGAGGCATTGCCTGCAAAGCCGCCTCCCGCTGTTCGCAAGGTGCCCCTCGGCCCCGGCGCGCCGCGAGTGCCGCAGTGAAGGCGGCGCTGGCGGCAAAGAAGGGTTTAGGGTTCAGGGTTCAGGGTTTAGGGCTTAGGGCTTAGGGCTTAGGGCTTAGAGCTTAGGGCTTAGGGCTTAGGGCTTCGGGTGAATGGTAAGGTTCTTGATCCATGGCCCCAGGGAGGGCAACCCTTGACATCGGGAGTCTCAGAAGCGTTGCAGTCCAGGGCCTGTGGCCCATCCAGTGGGAGTACTCCCAGAGAGCTTGGGTCACAACCTGCCGGCTCCCAAGCATTGACAACAACTCGTTGTGAGCACCCGTTGAGGGATTGCTGAAGGCCCAGTAAAAGCCGATGAGCTCTTTACCCCCTCCCTCCGCGAGCTCCTCAGCATGGTCGTGAAAGAGGCGATGGTAGAAGATGGGTGGGTCGCCGCTCAGACCATTCACGCGAACCATATCCATAAGGATGGGGCTCGTCGGGCCTCTCAAAGAACCCAGCTGCTCCGTGTTGCCATGACCCACGTTTTTGTACCCATCTCGAACATTTCTAAGAACGGAGACCGGCGCCCGGAAGATCCCAAAGGCCTAGGAAAGGCAAATCTGGCCGCCACTCTCGGCTGAGGAGGCCCAGCTGCAAAAGCTCCTGGGCGGGCAACATCTCCACTAGGCGCGAGTCATTCGGCGATACTAGCAGAGCCCATACGCAGTTTCCTTCGGTCTTCGGAGGGGCCCAGAGGTTTCGAATTTCAAATCCGCCGAGGCCGGCTGGAGCCGAATCCATGGGATTCATGGGAGGTGAAAGTGTAGCCTGGCTGTTGTTTCGCTTCTTTGGCCTACATCTTCCGACCAAACGAGGAAGCCAAAAACAACGTTTCGCATTCATCAGTCGGATCCAAATCAAGAAAGCCGGAAGAGACTCTGACTCCCGCGATGCCCTCAAAAGTCACCCTGGCGGGCTTATAGGGTTCAGGGACTCTTTCCCACTCTTTCCCAAGTCTGACAGGTTCCTACATGCAGGCTGAGTGGCGGACGTCGCCTCAGCAGGATCGTCACTCAGGGTGCGGAAGTTCTTCAGTGAGAAGAGGCACAGGCCCACACTGCAGCTGTCAAGCTCGTGCGGAACTCCATTCCTCAGACAGAAGGAAATCCAACCGATCGTGGAAATCGAGAGTTCTGAGCTTGGAGGTCGCGCAAATGTCCTTTGCATGGACAGCTCCATCTAGACTGACACAAGTCCTTGCCCAGTGTGAAAACCTGACAACAAGGCAAGGGTCAGAGAGAAGGATCGAGGCGGCAGGAGAAAGCCATAGAAGCCCACATCAATATCCTGTCGGCAGCACTTCCCACCAACGGCATCGGCAATCTCGAAGCCTTGCAGGCAAGCAAGTGGACGACTGCTTCCTGGATTGTCCAGACTTTCTTCGTGGGCAACCGTGGGCAGCCCTCCAACCGGCCAAGGCACAATTCTCGCTGCCAAGCCGGCAGCAGCGCTGCAGCCTTTGCTCGTCACTTCATCATGTCGGCACAGAGGATACTGATCGGCGAAGCAGAGTAATTAGCCGTGACTGGATGAAAGTGCAGATGACAAAGGCGGCAGCATCTATCAATTCACATCACCCAAAGCCACGTGAACATTCTGCCAGGAAATTCCTTCTGCATGCAACAGAAACGACGGCAACAACATGCAACCGAAACGATGGCAGAATGGCGTGATCTCCATCATTAACACAGACCCCTAAACCCTAAACCCTAAACCCTAAACCCTAAACCCTAAACCGTGGCATCCCAGGCACAAGGCTTGCTCAGTCTCGCCAGTGCCCCTTGCACACCACGCGGCCGGGGAGAGCTCCAACGCAGCGGCGACTGCAAGTGGACTCTCACAACCAGCACACAGAAACAACCCTAAACCCTAAACCCTAAACCCGAAACCTAACCCTAAACCCTAAACCCCTAAACCCTAAACCCGAAACCCTAAACCCTAAACCCTAAACCCCTCAGACCTCAGCCTCAGCAAAGCATTGTTTGCTGCTTGCACTTGCTACACTGCACGACTTCCGGTTGCTGCAGTCCACAGCAAAGTGACCCAAGAGAGTGAGCCCAGAGCCTTGAAACCCCTGGCGCCTGCCAGAGTCGAGAGGAGGCAGATCTTCCAGCAGACCATGGAGCACCATTGAAGCTCATGTTAGGGCTTCTTTTTTAAGGGCTTTTTTGTTGAGGGTTAAGGGGTTCATGGGAAAAAGGTGCTGGGGTGGCAGGGGGGAGGGTATAGTCACTGCGGCTGAAAGAGGTACTTGGGCAAAGATTGCGTGTGAGAGCACAAAACCGGTGGGCAGGCGACACAGCTCTCATCGGTAGAAAGCGGACAGCAGACCTGAGACCACTCGCAAGCGCAAGCCCTCACTTCAGAACTCGCATCGCAGCTTTCCTACGCAGAGTCATCCAATTATTCATTGCAGCGGCGAGAAAAGGGAAGAAAGGCGTCGGCTTTGCAAACACAAGGGCCCGCCCGCAGCATTCTCATGCAGCACTTAGGGCTTATAGGATGGCTGAAAGGAGGTGCCTGCCGAGGGGCGCGGGGGGGGCGGGGGGGGTTGGGGTCCAGGGGCTTTTGCTGCAGGCCCCAGCGTCTGAGACTGACATGTTGGCGACCTTGCGCCAAGGTGGAAAGCTTTTTCAGGCCGGGGTGGAGACGAGCTCCGATCCGCTGTGTTGTGCATTTTCTAGTGCCGGGAGCCCCAGAAAATTTGGGCCCAGAAGTGCCCTAAGCCAGGACTTCCGGAAGGGAAGTTGGTCTTTTCAGGGAGCCAGAGGCTCCTCGCCATCATACCACTCGAAGTAGGGAGAACCTAAAAAATATCTTTGGACGAATTGTCGTGCGACCGTGAGACGCGCTTTCAGGTGCAGTCCCTGTCTTGGAGCTTGCTCTTCATATTGTTTTTTTAGTATAACTATTAGGATTATTGCTATTATTCTTACTATTCTTATTGTTGTTATTATTACTATTATTAACAAGAGCCAAGACAGCCGTGCAACCGAAGAATTCTGGGCTTCCAGCTTCTTGACCCTGGTTGCCCCATTTCAAAGGCAGGAGGCAGGAGGAGGCAGTAGTTGTTGCTTTGTTTCTTGGTTTTTTCCCCACCTGCTCCTTCTTTGTATCTGCTAGCGCTGGTAGCTAAACACAAGCTGCAAGCCTCCTGCAACCCGTGCAGAGGAAACTCAAGGGCCCTACCTACAAAGAACTCTGGTACTCTCGGGCACCCGGGGGAAGGTCGACAGCGCAAGTCCACTGTTCATGCCCTCTGCCCCCAGGTGCGGCACTCCATCTGGAGTGGTCTCACATCCCCCCAGGTGCCCACCCATGGCGGCCTACTCTCATGACGCGCGGACTCCAAGCAAGCCGGTCGTCCTCCAGGGGCTCACATGGCTCACATGGCTCAAATGCCCGCCTAGGGTCGATGCCGCATCAATGCCACGCAGCCACCCCTGTCCTGTACAAGAGATACATGACAAACCAAAAAATAATGGTCGCGCCCAGGAACTCAGGGACAGCCACGTCATCAGGTCACAGCGCTCGGCACGCAGAAGCCTTCGATAACACACTCAAGGCACTCAGTGATTTGGGATTGAGCGTTCTGAAGCACGGCCGAGATGCGCAGATGTTTAGCCAGAGGATGACGTTCCCCTCGGAGCGGATCATCCCTCCGTGCCAAGCTTGAGGGTCTGCCAGCCAATGCAGGTTCGAGCATAGGAACACCTCCCACAGCGGCACTGCTAAGGAGGAAAGATTCCCTCTACGAAGTTCACGCATGTCTAGGACCTTTCAAATCCCATCATCACGAACCAAAGTTAAACTATGTATGTGTGAACGTGTGTATGTATAGGTATGTGCACAAGCATTAGTTACATATATATATATATATATGGTACCCCCCCCCCAGTGACCTACCCTTTTTCGCCTTGTCTCAAGTCACCCAGCTGCACTGCAAGCAAACTCGGTGTGCAATATAGCGTATTTCCTAGGGCGTAGACTAAAATACAACTAAAATCGCATACACGGGACAGTAGAAAAACCAAAAATACCAAAACCAAAAAAACAAAAAAACAAAAAAACAAAAAAAACACCAAAAAAAACAAAACCAAAAAAACCAAAAAAACCCAAAACCAAAACCAAAAATACCAAAAAAAACAATTTTCCGGGTCTCTCAGGAAATCCCTATGAGGCTTCTCCAAGAGTCCCGGAAAATTGTTTTTTTTGGTATTTTTGGTTTTTTTGGTTTTTTTGGTTTTGGTTTTTTTGGTTTTGGTATTTTTGGTTTTTTGGTTTTGGTATTTTGGCTTTTTAGTTCGCCTTCACGGTCACGAGGCAACAACTACGCATTCTTAAGTGTGCTTATGCTAATTGTGCTTTTCAGAAATAGTATACAAGTGGTCTTTCTAGTGCTTCAGAACTATTTGTTTCGCTATTATGTAAGTAGAGCCGCTAGTGTTTAGTGCATCTTTTGGTTGTACTCAAGTGTAGTAGACCTTATTCAGCCATTACTTGGTGCTCTGGTAGCTCAATTCGCATGGATAATATTTGCCTGGTAAATGCGATTAATTATCTAGAAGCATGTCTTGAGAAAAAGCATTTATTGCTTAGAATTGTTTGCTTAAAAAGTGACTCCTACTCGTCCAGGAATACCCCAAAACCCTATAATCCAAACTTTACCAGAGATTCTCCTGAAAAGCTTGCGCTTTTGGATGTTTTTATGTATTTGTGAATTTGCTTGTGCATGGCCTTCACGAAGTACTTTTCTAGGATTCTTGTGCATTTTTTAAGCCTGATTGTGCAAGTTGCGTTTTTCAAGCATAGTATATATGTGGTCTGTATTGAATACTTCAGACATCTTTGTTTCATCGTTATGTAAGTAGAACCGCTTCTATTTCCATTCGTGTGCATTTTTAAGCTTGCTCATGCAAATTGTGCTTTTCAGACATAGTATATAAGTGGTCTTTAGTGAATACTTCAGCACCATTTCCGCAAGTGTTTACTTCGTATTTGGTTGAGTATGGTCCTTTAAATAGTATGCACATGAGTCAAATTGGGTTATTTGCTTAAGAATTCCTCTAGTAGTTAAATTCGCATAGAATGAATACTTCAAAAAAATTGTTTCATGAATATGTAAACATAAGGTGTTTCATTTGACTTTGCAGATAGTACTTCAATAATACTTTGCCTGGTATAAACACAACTGTTTCAATGCATTAGCTGCTCAACAAAGCACTATTTGCCCTTTAAACCACACTTTGCCATATTTTGGTTGAATATGGTGCTTCTTTCGTATTTTGGTTGAGTATGGTCTTTTAAATGGTATTCACTTGAGTCAAATTGGGCTATTTGCTTAATATTTACTCTAGTAGCTAAATTCGCATAAAATGATTATTTCAAAAATAAAAAAGATTCATGAATATGTAAACATAAGGTATTTCAGTGGACTTTTCAGAGAGCATACTGTGCCTAGTACAAACACAATTGTATAAATACAGTATTTGCACTTTAAACGCACACTTTGCCGTTTTTGGTTGAGAATGGTGTTTATTTCGTATCTTGGTTGAGTATGCTCCTTTAAATAGTATTCACTTGAGTCAAATTGGGCTCTTTGCTTAATAATTCCTCTAGTAGCTAAATTCGCATAGAACCAAGAAAAATGTTTCTCTATTTGATTAATACTTTGCCTCGTACAAACACAATTGTATAAATAAATTAGTTGCTCAACAAAACATTAATTGCCCTTGAAACGCACAATTTGCATAGAAAAACACTGATCTAAACATCAAAAAACAGCATTGTCCGCTTCAGATTCAAAATGTAGATTCTTCCAATGCTGGCTTATCGGGGTCTGTGAGGTGGGTGTCCCAGTAACTGTCCTTCATTACCCGGTGATTAACTACGCGATTTTTGGGCCTTCTTTGTTGTTTTTTGTTAAAAAGGCCTAAAAAGGCCTAAAAAGGCCTAAAAAGGCCTAAAAAGGGTAGGTCGCTGGGGGGGGGGTAGCATATATATATATATATATAGAAATAAAAATCGATAAAGCCCTCCTAGACATACATATTATTTACAGATATCATACAGACTGAATGTTGACATACATAACGTGGTTCTAACCTAACAGCATGGTCATACCATCATGTCGGGTTTAGCTTGCAGGCGTTTAGTTCATAGGCATAAACTAAAGAGAACCGCAATAGGCGTGTGCCCATACACATTTGTATATTCTGCCCCTGTGCACCTACCTTTTCTGATTTTTATCTCTCTACGTATATATATATATATATATATTATGTACATGTATCATGTTGACGCATATGATGCTTATGTAATGCATACATACATACATACATACATACATACGTACATACATACATGCATACCTACATATATATATATATTCACGAGAAGGAGTCCCCACTTCAGCCCCCGTTCCCGGACAACACAAGTGAGGGCACTGTAGCGCCTTTTCTCAAGATCCATACATGGGCTCTGTCAGTAGAGCACATCCTGAAGCAACAAGGTTGATGCCACCCTCTCATCGAGAGAGAAAAGCGCGCGCTCATCACAGACTCCACTGCGAGTGAGTCTGCCTGGGTAGGCAGGGAGCGTCAGCGCACGGAGCGAAAAATGGCCCGGCATGTCAATCAGACAGAGCCTGGGCTTCAATGTTGACTGACCCTTTCGCAAAACAAGCAGGAAAACCTTAGACCATTCACGAGAAGGAGTCCCCACTTCAGCCCCCGTTCCCGGACAACACAAGTGAGGGCACTGTAGCGCCTTTTCTCAAGATCCATACATGGGCTCTGTCAGTAGAGCACATCCTGAAGCAACAAGGTTGATGCCACCCTTTTTTTGGAGAGAGAAAAGCGCGCGCTCATCACAGACTCCACTGCGAGTGAGTCTGCCACCATCCCCCGAAAACTTGCCAAAGCACCACAGGCATCAGATTGACAATTCCTGCCAGACATGAGGCCCAAGGCTGGCAAAGCGCCGCGCCGACTGCCAAGCAGCTAATGGCACAGAGCTGCGCAACCTCAGCAGGGCGACCTCACCGCGGCGCAAATATTCGCGCATGGAGCGCTCAGACAGCCAACGCCCTTGCAACGCAATCTCATTGAGAGGAACGCGCAGTCTGAAAAGCTCAGTGGCCCCCCCCCTGCGCAGGCCATGCGATGACCAAGAGTCACTGAAGCCCAGAGCACGAGTTGCCTTTCGCAGCCAATACTGAAGCTTCTGAAATGAAATCGGGAAGACACGATCAGCAGGAGAGTGAGGAAATGAGCGCATCCAATACGCCAGATATTGCAAACACCAAGTGAGGACAGAAGGATGTTGAAGCAACCACCAGCTGAGCCGAAGAAAGGCAGAAATCTTGGAACGTCAGATGAAGCAGTTCGCTGGCACGGAAAAGACCTGTGAAGCAGATCAGCATAACAGTGCCCACAACCCATGAGAACAAGCCACACCGCAGAGCCCAGAGCCAGCTCAGGCGGAAAAGCTGCAGCTTGTGCAGGAGGGCAGCGCAACCTCCAAACCTCAAGAACTTTCCAGGCAGTGGTGCCGTGGATTGACTTTTTGCATTGCAGCAATGACCGTGGCACCGAAAGAAATGCCGGAACCATCTTCACTGCCCTCAAACAAATCAAGAATGTACTCAGCAAGGAAAATGTCCAACTGCGCCTCCGACAAGGTGTCAGCGGCCACACCACGCGCTGCCAACTCCTCAGAGAAAGCAGCGATGGCCTGTTGATACCTATCCTTGCTGGCACGCAAGCCGGAGAGCAGGAAGCAGGCTATCCGACCACGGGCTTGGTTCAAATCCATTGGATGGCGGGCTCGGTGTGGTGACAGACCCGTAGGCAACAAACATTTGGGCCAAGTACTGGGACAGCAAGTCAGGGCAAACGGCACTGCAAAAGACCTGGCGTCGGCGGGGTTGCTTGCGCACAGGAGCATGGCCCTTGGCATGCTTACAGAGGCGTGCGAGGAATTGCCACCCAACACAGTCCAGCCTGTTAACCAAAGCCTGTGACGGACCCTTAGTCGACCCTCCAAACATGCACAAGTCAAAACCGATACATTGCCCATTGATGCGCTCACATAACCATGCAACTTCAGAGGTGTTGTGCAGCGAAGGGGAAGCCTCCTGTTTGCGCCTAGGACCAAGAAGGCAAACCAAACCCCCATAGCTATGAACCCACCAAAGCACCTCTAAGCAAGCAACGGCGAGAAGACTGGCGTCATGACACTGCTGTTTTTCCTCCGCGTTTGCATGAAGCAGTGGAGTCCATGGTTTAGCAGGGTCGCGCAAAGGCCTTCGCCCTGCTCGACACCACGTGCCACCAGGTGGCCGGGCCAAGGCGCCAACAACAACCCCAGCTGTGACAAGAGCCTGCAACCACTCGAGAATCTCGCCACTACGAAGATCAAGATTAGGTTCAATGGCCGAGTGAATGTCAAGAACAATGATAGGGGCGCCACGTTCAGCAGCCAAGGCCTCAACTTGAACGTCAAACGATTCCGCAGACCGCAAGTCTGCGCACAGGGAAAAAACAAGCTTGCTATTGAGGGGCAGCCTGCGAAGCTGCCAAGAACGGCTCACAAGTGAGCGCAAGCGATCCCATGAGCTGCAGCACAGATCCTCCTCGCAGCCGAGCTGATGATCATCCGCAGCGGTCGGGCCTGCAGGCAGTACCCAAAAGTCAAAGGGAACAAACTGGCCAACCAACACAACAGCGCATCGACAACGACACCGACCGTTGAGACGTCGAGAAGCGCTGCGTCCCTTGCCAAAGGCTGCAACTTGAGCGGCATTATCGCTGCCCTGCAAACATCGAGACCCAAGCTCATGCGGGCGTTGCAAACGACTCTCCAACGACCATGTGGCGGCCTCAGCCTCCTCAAGCGTGATATGCTTGTAACCCCCCATGCGTGGCACCGTGTACCAGTGCAGATGCTTGGGCAACACCAGCCTCTTCATCGGGCATTTGCCCTCAGAATCAAGCTCAACTCCATGCTCTTTATGCAAACATGTGTGTGGGTACTTGCAATCAGACAACCTCGCCATCTCACGCACCACGTCAAGAGACAAGCATGACCAAGCGCGACCGTGGCCACCAGGCGCAGCGTCATAACACTCAACTCGAGGGCACCAAGGCGCGTCAAGCTCGGTTTGCATATCAACAAGCAAGATGGTCGACATGAGCAACTCCGACCACGCAGCCGCATCCAAGGCACCGAAAACACGGCGTTGAGCCCGATGGTCCCGAATCCACCGGTAAACTTGTTGAAAGGTGCTCCGCGTGCAAGACTTAAAGCTTTGACAATAACCATGCTTGCCAACCAACCGCTCCACCAATTGAACGCAAACACGGACTCGTCCCAGCACGTACAAAGTTGCACACACAAGACTGCAACGGCGCTGCAAGGAGGTGCCCAACCAATGCTCGTTTTGATGGAGGAACGCCCCCTGCAACTCACACAGAGGATCATCAGCATTAACACTCTTCTTTGCATTGACGGCGACTCCCAAGTCCTCCCAACTACTCTCAACGCTGCGGACCCAAGCTCCTGCAGGGCTAGTTTCTGGGCTAGTTTCGGGACCAACTTCGTCAACAGCCCAAATATCATCCTGGATGGAGCCCCAAACCGGAAGCGCAACAGGCACAGGCCAATCAAACCTTACTCGACGGTCATCCGGCAGCTGAGCCGTTTTGGTGGCGACGTCAGTCAGCGCCTGAGCCCAACCAGCAGAAGGCCGGAATCCCATCGGAGCCGTGAGCTGAAGCGGATACAGCGTGCGACCTGCTTCAACAATGGGAGGGTGCGCCAAAAACTTGTGCCACTTAGGGCCCAAGCGCAAGTTGTGATAGTAGTGTCGCGCATCACGCTTGAAGACAACCAGCCGCTTGCCTGGACAAGTCCGAACAGCCCTCAACTTAGGCATGTATGCAAACTGCGGCCGAAAGAGGTTGGCATCATCGATGAGGTCGTTAAGCGGACACAGCGCCGAGATAAGGCGCGTCTCTGCACCGTCTTTCGGCACCGCGAAGGCTCCTGACACCAACGGCTTGCCATGGTGTTTCCACACATGTTTGCCAGATCGCAGCTTCTGCAGCCCAACTCTGACCATGCGTGCTACCAACTGCTGGTAGGTAGGATGTAACTTGATGAAAGGGCGCTTCAAACGCCGCGGACGTGCTCCCGGTTTCAAAAGGAGACGCCTCGGCTCTCGAACTTGCGCTGCCAACTCAGGAAAGAAGCCTTGCAACGCCCCAGACAAATCAACTTGTCCAGCGGACTCCGGCACGCCAGCGTCCACACCCAAAGGCAGCACAGCAGAGAAGGCAGAGTACTCGCCATCTCCACTCTTCAGGTAAGATTTCATGTCCTCGCTACTCAACGGCTCCACGGAGGCATTGACATAGTGGCCAACGCGTTTGACCAACAGGGCATGTACGCGCTGCTGAGCTTTTGACGGCTCACTCAGAGAAACACGCGAAGAGCCGAAGTAAAGGAAGTTATAGCAAGAGATCAAAAGGTTACAGTAGTCCAGCATGAGAGCGGTGATCCGCAGGCCGGGTGCACTAACAGTGCTTTGATGCCGTTGGATGAAAGGAATGGGGAAGACAGACTTCGGGGACCTATGATTACGAAGCTTAATGCGGTTACGGTTCCTGCTAGTTTGCAAAGGTCTTGCAAGTTCACTACGACCCAACTCAACAGCTTTGACGACTACTTGCAGGACTGCACCCCACGCCGGCTTTGCCGACCAAGACGACACTTCCTGCCTGAAAATCGCAGCCATCCGTTTTACTGAGTCAGGCGAAGCATACCACCTGGGAGGCCGAAGCTGTTGCCCACAACGAGCTCCAACGCCTCGGCCTTCTTCCAGTTGGAGCCTGCACTCTTGGCCTTCTGAATCGCCATGATGCGCTGCGCAATCACGTCCATTGCCGTCTCTAAGTCCCCCACGTTGATCATGTCCATGATGTAGCTCAAAGTCGCCACCTCCCTGAGGTCTCGGGTCTCTGTGAGTCCCGTTGAGCCGGCGGCCCATTGGGACACATTGACTTTGCGGAGCTGAGAGGTCTTGGTGACACTTCCGTGTAGCAACTTCTGATGCACCATGGACAAAAAGTACGCGCTCAGAGCGCCCGGATGCTTGGCAGCGAAGGTTAGGAGCTCTCCACGCGCTTTGAACCTTTGTGCTTCCAATCGGCGAAGCTCCTCCGGCTTCACGCGCTTGGTCTTGCCTTCCTGGCGCCACCGAAGGAAGTCCTCGCTTGCTGACGAGCTGCTGCTTCCAGACCGGCTTCGCCCAGAGCTGCTGCTGGAGCTCCCTCGTTTCTTCTTCTTGCTCTTCTTGCTCTTGTCCTTCTTTTTCTTCTTCTTGGCTTTCTTGTCCGTCTCCCCTTTTGCTCGGCCGATCTCCAACTTGATGCCCTCCATCAGCCGTGCCAGCTCGTCTGGCGTGGTCTGCGGCTCCTGAGCGTTGAAGCCGAGAGCCCCTGCAGCCCCGGGGTTTGCCACCCCCCCTGCGACCACTCCAGCGTTGCCGCCCACAGGCAGCAAGCCGGCCCCTGCTCCCATGGAAGTCACCGGATACATCAAAGTGGGGAGAGCTGCCGCTGGCTGACCTGCAGCGATGTGCCCCGGCGCCAAGCCATCTTGCACAACTCGAGCCGCAATTTGCCTGGCCTCTTCCATCAAGCCAGGAAACTCGGCCAGTCCACACGTCCACTTGACATGTGCCGCGGGAGGTACACACATCCAATTGACCATATGATCTGGCACGCCGGCTGGCGGTACGCGGACATGGGCCGGGCTGGCTACAGGGATGACATGGTTGCCAGCCGCCAACCTGACCACGACCCACGCCCAGCTGCTTCCATCGGCCGTAGTGGTCAGCCCAACATGCTCGGCGTGCTGTGGCACGCTGGCACAAATCAGGATCTCGTCGTACTCCGCACCTCGAGCCAAGAGCACGAACTGTCCAACGACATTGGGCGCCACACCAGCAGGCACCATTGCGCCTGCTCCTGCCGCTCCAGCTGCCGCCATTGCTGTAGCGGTGCGTCGACTCCGATGTGATGATGTTTGAGCGGTTCCTGGTATCACCCAGGGTTCGCGCCACTTTCCCTTCTTGAAAGGAGTTGTTGTCCAAACAACTCGATCCCTCCCCCAGGTGAGCCAGCAATGCCCCACTGCACACGTGACGAGTGTGATCACCAGTGTATAGCAACAGACCCAATGAAAGGAGGAAGCCACTGATCCAGCGACACTGCCCACAGACCCTTTCAGCGTAGCGCATGCACCAATTATCCCAGTCCAGAGATGTTGGGCAGCAAGACCGACGGCCCCCAGTATCGTGTGAATCAAATGAAAGAGATAGGAAAGAGCGACCAAATTCACCGTTGCATGCGTCTTCTCTAAATGCATGCTGGCTCGGATGGGGACTTGAGCGAAAAATGGCCCGGCATGTCAATCAGACAGAGCCTGGGCTTCAATGTTGACTGACCCTTTCGCAAAACAAGCAGGAAAACCTTAGACCATACATGTATATGATATACACATATCTAAGCGCTGCCATCTTCGTATAGGTCATCTGAGGCCGCCTGGCCGGCGCCGTTGACCTTGGGGAACCAGAGGGGCGTCCGGCGGCTCAGGGGGCTCTCCTGGCCACCCTGGAGGCTACACAGGGGGATGGCTTCGCCGGAGTTCATGGGGAGCCAAGCATTGAAGTTGGTCTCCTGAGATCCAAGGAAAAAAAGATAAACACGACGTGAAGACGAAATCATATATCATCATATCTACGAATGTTCTCCCCATTTACTTTAGGCAAAAAAAACAAAAAACGAAAAAGCAGTAAAGAAGTGGTACCCTGTGCCACATATCACGACAAGGATGGCAGACAGCCCAAGCGTCACCCAGGTTGATGAAGAATCGCGCTTCGTCGTTGGGGAGGACGGCTTCGCTCCGCATGGCCCGCAAGATAGAGCTCCAGGACTGGTAGGTGTGTGGTGCACCCCAGGGCCCTGCCAGGCAGAGATCCTCCAGTCCTGGCATCAGAGGCCCCAAGGAAGGAATACTGGTTCCTGTTACCAGGGGTTTTTTTGGGGGGAGGGGGCTAAAACATGATGCAAGGAATGTTCTTGATTCAAGGGTTGCTGGGGCCTCTTGGGGGCGTTCACTTTTTTGCAGAATAAGTTGGGATTACCAGCACACTGCTAGCCGCCGTCCTGGAGCCGTGGACAGCTTGGCCGCGTAGCCAGCGCCAAACTTCGAGGAGGGCTCGGGAAAAACGCCAAGAAACTTTACCAACTCTTTGCCCCATCCTTAGTTGTGCAGGAAAACCTTGGGCACAGCAAAATTCTGGATTCTGGATGCTTAACTCATGCTTAACCAAACCGACACCTAGTGTGTCTCGGCCGTCACGGACAGATGCCCTGTGCACAGCTCGCGGCGCATGGTCCACAAAACAGACGGTTCCGTAGCTGCGTCTGAGGTGCCACCGTTGACGGTCCAGGCACTAAAGCAGTTTAGCACGGCCGTGCCACCCCTTTGGCAAAATCTTGAGAGCGTAGCCTGCCATGGACACAGTCGGTGGGCCAGTCTTAGTCAAGTCTCAAACCCCTATCTTCTGCAAGCTTCGTAGGGACCCGATACTAGCCAGATGGCCTGCTCCGCAGCACTCAGTGCCCTTTTCGCACCGGTTGTGTGGAGGAAAACGAGGTCGGCCGTCTCCAGGATAGCATCGGAGAGCTCAGGAACGGACCGAAACTGCACCTGGAAGAGCGCCGTAGTTGCCGCTCTGGCGGCAGAAAAGCCTGACCACCTGCACGGACATGCACAGATCACTACAGATTGCCGCCCATGGCTTCTGTAACACCTTCCTGGACCCATCTGGTCCCCAAGACGAGACATGACGAGAGGCCCGAGGCGCCCGAGGCCCGCGCTCGCAGAAACTGCCGTCCGCACAGCGTTCCAAGTTCAAGGACACGATCGTGAGAGACGGCCTTCCAAACAAACACACTGCTTTGCGCACAATCTCACGAGCTCGGTCGAGTCGAGGATGGATTTCCTGATTCCTGGACAACAAGCACAGTCTACTGATTCTTACTTGCTCATGGCCCGGCATGGAGTTGGGCATCCTTCTGCTCTCTCTACAAGCACTCTCCGACTTTTGATGTGAGTAGTGGGTTCCAATGCTCAAGAACCGCAAGCCAATTTGCTGCTTAGGGTACCCAGCTGCCCAACCCCCTTTTCCTGGCCTCGCATCCCGCCATGCCACGCAGGGACAACGGCGGAAGGCACCCCTGAAGATCCGACGTCTAAACTGCTTCGCTCAGCACGACGACTGACAGAGGCGCCAGATATCGAAGGACATTTTAAGTGGAGGCTGAGGGTGTCCAATGGGTTTCTATCGAGGAGACGTGCAGTATGTTTGGTCTGCTCACTCGCAACACCTGAGGAAACTGCTTCTTTTGAAAGCAGGAGTCTGCCAATGATTTCATGACTGTTTCAGCCACAATATGATATGGACGACTGAACTTAGGAAGCCAAGGGGCCGCCGCTGAGCCCAGAAGAGCCTCTTGCAGCGGCTGCACTCCGGCTGCGCTAGGGCCCGGTAGCGCGAGGCACCACCCCAGTCCTGGGACTATGAAGGCTGTGCCGCGTTTCTGCTTGTGGGGTTCCGATTAAGATTCCCTTTGTCCCTCCGTTCAACCGCAGGCTTCCTGGAGGAAGTCTCTCAGGAGAAGCTGCATCCAGCGGCCTTGCACCAGCACGTCCGCCTTGCAACGACAGAGGAAAAGACACCACGCCGAAACCGCAAATGGTGCACGCCATGGTGTCACTCGAGCAAGGCGTAAGCTGAAGAGCCTGGACAAGACGACTGCTAGTGATATAAGAGCCCATTGAACCCTGTCTTGACGAACTACCTCGAGGGAGCGCGAGCGGAACCCAAGGCAATGTTTAAGCTCCAGCAAAAGTGATCCAGAGGAGTTTGCGCAGTGGTGACCCCCCCCCCCTCTCCTTCGACGGATCCCGACCCGCGATTGTTCCCAAAAAACTCCAAAGCTGTGCAGGCCTTCAGCCTCAGTGGCCTCCGAGAAAACTCTCTGAAAGAACCATCGGCATTGTGTTTTCTTGCCGGCCGGTGGGTGGGCGCAGGAGCTCAGGGGCTCTTTTGCTCGAAGTATCTCGAAGTCTTCCAGACGCTAGGGTGCGGGGGTAAGGCTTCCAGACACTACGTTGCGGGTGTAAGGCTGTACTTTCTTTGGCCGAGACCTTCTCAATTGAGACAAGTTCGCCATGGTCAAGCAGCATATCGGGTGGGGCGGTGTTTTCCACTCGGACCCTGCGAAGTTTTGGGGTGTCGTCAGAATATTTCGGGTTCTGTGCCTGGCAAACCCTAAACCCTAAACCCCAAACCCCAAACCCCAAACCTCAACAGGTTTTAGCGGCGGTCCGCCTCCCGCCAGAACCTGCAGGCGGTCTGCAGCTTCGCAAGCTCGTGGGCGTCTGCGCGGGAGATCACGGGAATGAGAACCGCTCGGAAGTCCGCGGTTTCCATGGCACCTGCGTAGGGCATCGGACAGTTGTCTGCTGTTGTTGCTGAAGCTGCTACAGCTAGCGGGCTGTTGTCGTTGTGTTTTGTCATCGTTGCCCTTGTCCGTGTCGTCGTCATCGTCGTTGTCGTTCTGTTGGCGGTGTGGTTGTGGTAGTGTTGTTTGTGGCGGGTTGTGGCTCGTGGGTGTGATTGTCGTCAAAAACTAGATCAGAGCTGACAGAGGGTTCGTACTGCACCTTCCTTTCGGAAATTCGCTGCAGGGCAAAAGAACTTTCGAACATGTCTTTAAGTCTTGCTTGCTTATTGCTTGGCTTGTTGGGTCCGCGGGGTTCGTTTGTTGCTAGGGTTTCTTGCCGTCGAAATGCTCGAACAGTCGGCAGAGATCGCGTTCCACTGACTACTTCTTATGGTGCATCTCTCGGCATGTGAACTGTCGATCAAACGCATCACAGCCGAATGTGCCCACGCCCCCGCTCCCTCTCCCCTCTGCGCCTGAGGGCTCCATGGGCCGATAAGAAATGGTAGTGCCAACGTAAATGCGCTGCAGTCGCTTGGGACTACTGACTGGAAAATGCCCGAACATGCTCAACTTCAATGATCTCGATGCACGAAGGCTTGGTTGACTTTGATCCATGTCTCGCAAAGTCTTGAGGCCACAGTTCTTTAGGCGATCATGCATGACGAAGCCCTTTCACAATGCTCCTCTGGCAACACCCTGCATGTCCGGCACAGCCCCGCAACGCAACTGATTTAGCTCCCCCTGTTTTCAACGGACATCCGAGGATTGGAGCCTGTCAGACGCTCACTGCTTGCCACCCTTTCGTGAGCCCTTGCCTGCCAAGTCCACTAAGCAACCACCGATGCAAAGGCTCTTGGACTCTTGGGGCACACCGGACCTTTTCCTGCTTTGCCTTTGCCGGATTTGCCTTTGCCATCCTGGCACTCTTAGCACGCCGAGCGGAGGATCCCCCAAAAAAGGGCAAGGCCTTGCTTTTTCCCTTTCCATCCTCCCATGACGAGACAACACAGGCTCATTAGCAGCTTGACTGCTGGAAGTTGGGAGTGCCAAGCCAACATAAGCTAACTGTCCTTGCCGCCTTTGTGATTCTTGCCGTAGCCCTTCCCCTTGCCTTTGTCCTGGCCAGGCTTCATGGCGCACACGCTGCTTGCGCGTCAGGGCGAGAGAGGAAGCCTAGTCAGCCCCTCTCGCAATATCCGCCCTCAAAACGGCCTGCGCACGCATCTCTAACTGTGACAGCGCCGCCTGCCGCGCGCATCACTGCACCATGGCACCGCTGCTCAAACGGGGGATGTAGGTACAGCAGGGTGCTCAGCAGCAGATGACGGCTGTGCTAAGCCCTGGGCCTTCTTCAGGAAGTCTTCCTGTAGAGGGCAGCGGGGAGCACTGCGTGCTTGCACTCTGCCGCCAACGCTGTCTGAAACCTCAACCCAAGCAGGTTCGCTCCTCCTCCTCCCCTCCGACGTGTGTAACGGGCAGGCCTTATATCTTCACAAGACTTTACGACTCGCTTGAAGTTGATCATTCCTGCAGGCAACATTAGCAGACGAAACCCTGGAAGAGGCACAAACCGGGAACCTGACGTACGGTAACCGACTGTTCCACGGAGCTTTCGTCGTCCTGCAGGGAAATCAGCATACGCTGTCGCTTCACTTCTGGCATTTGGCCCGTTCACAGCCTTCTTTGGCATGGCACGGTAAGATTCCAACAAGGGTGACTTTTCTGCTGGCTTGTGCGTCGCTCAGAACTCTCTCTCGAAGGATGGTGTGCACTGCGCCATGTGCTAAAGCAGCGGTGCAGGAAGCGATTCGATCCAAGGGTGATCGACTGCTAAGGGTTCGAGCCGTTCTGCTGTCGCATACCAAGTACGCACGGTCGAACCAGGATACCCCTTGAATTCTCAGTGACCACTCTGGGACACTTTGACGGTCAGAGCTTCCAGGTGAATGCCCAGATACCGATCCGTCACATTTGGACCCCGATGACGCTTCAGGCCTCCAGAGCAGAATTTCTAGGCACATTGTCAAAAAGGGAGCCGCGCAGTTTCAAAGCCGTGCTGTATAGCTCACCCTCTTTCGCCCCCAGCGCCTTCTTTGGCTGCTGCGGCGCGGGCTTCTCGGGAAGAACCAAGGCCACGCCCTAACAAGCGGGGAAACTTCTACTGCTAGGAATCAGGGTGCTGACTGGTGATACTCTACGGACAGGATGTCTCTATTTTTTTATGTGAAGTACTGAGTCTGCGCCCCATGGGAAGGGCCCCTATGACCTACCAGTGCAGCTTCCCGACCTGAGCTCTTTTATTGCTAGAATTCTCAGAATAAGACCACTTAGAAGGGCTGCTAGGTTGCTAAGATGAGGGCTGTGAAGATGCAACACACACAATTCCTGGAAGTTTGGCGCAAGGGTCTGGAGGCTTGGCGTATCCTGAACCAAAGATGCCGAAAGCATCCAAAGGCCGTACCATGAAACAACCTGGGTTTAGAAGGTTCAAAGTTAGGGTTTCTTCCCCTCCTGCACAGCTGGGGCGAGTCCGCAACGCAGGGCGATTTCGAGTCCGACCGGTTTCGGGCGCACCCTTGCCTGCGCAATGACGCGATCGAAGCGGTCGAAGGCCGTGGACAGCGACTCAGCAGCGGATGCCAGGAAGTCGGTGTCGTTATCCTGGCACCCCTGTTTGACCCTATACTCGCTTAAAGGGCACTTTTTTTCGTCAGGGCTCTGTGAGCTGCCAAGAAGGCGTGACCCTTGCAAAAGATAGCTGCCCGACACAAAGCCTCGCAAACTTGTGGAGCATCTGACTAAAGCATCTAGCAGATCACCGGAATCTGACCTCCTTGCTTTGTCGCAACACAAAAATGCCTGTACCCACCGGAGCACCAACTACAGCTAGAGTCAGCACACGGAGCGTCTCTGCTGGAGGAGCCAACGGCGCTTCGGGCCGGGAAGACCCTCAACTACCCTGAACGAGACAAGCCTCACGGATGATCTGCTTGCCGTGCTTCGTGTTTGTGAGCTCCTTCTGGAGTGACAGCAGTCGTGGCTTTGGGTTTGGCCGCACCACAACACCATCAATCAAGTACAAAACTGCACAAAGCTGCGGCAAGTCAGGTCTGGTCCTTCTGCAGACCCACTGCCGAAACAAGGGTAATCAGGTCAAGCATGATCTCCAGCGACCCCCTCGCAACCAACTCCGGGGCACATTCAGATGCCGTGCTGACATGAACTACCATGGCCCCATCAGTATGCTTGCCGATGCCTGAGTTTCAACGACGCCAGATGAGGATCGGGGTGCAGTCAGCAGCTGACGGCCGAAACGGCTCACAAGAGCCAGAACATGAGCCACGGCGGCAGCTACAAACCGTTTACGTCCGGAGACCTCTTTAGGGATGGCTTTGCTGGTTTGGCATGCGAACCTCAACCCTGGGCTCAGGGCTCCTCTGCTGGAGGCTCCAGCTCCATGTTGCGAACCGTCGTGGCCTGTCAAGCAAATAGCAGCCCTGGCCCCACTTTTGGGTGGGCTGCGGCTTGCTATTTGTACAGGAAGTCCTACACAGCGTGGCTTGATTCTGAGACACGCCTCCGGCTTGTCCGCTTGGGCAGGGGCACTTTCACCGGCCTGTCCCACCACCTCCTCCAGCGACAGATCCTGCGGCTGGCGCTAGGGGAATGGAGGAGTGGATTCCTCCTTCTCATCCCTACCCCTGGGTTGTTTGCATCCGCCTCCCCCACCGCCTCACGCGCCGGTACCGCAGTGGAGGGTTTGTTTCTTCGGCTGGTAGCGAGAATGGCAGCGCTCCTCTTCTGCTTTCTCTCTGGCATCGGGCTGCCCTGAAGCTTCAGGCAATTCGGCCAGGGCCATGTCCTTCCATGGTGCAAGCTCACGGACCCCTATGCCCCAAATGCAGGGTCAAGCCTCGTCGGAGACAGCTGCTTCGGGCACCTCGAGCGGCTCAACAACTTGGGCACCCTGACAAAATCCCAAGCGGCAAAGAACAAAGGCAATGTGCAGGCGGTCTGGCTTACAGGCTTACACTTGCCTCTTCAGTCGGCTCGGCGTTGGCAACCTCGCAGGTGCACAGCCCATCGGTTCCGCAGGGATTAGACAGAAAGAAGAGCTCCTTCCTCTTCCACTAACATCTCCGCACTCGGCACTCTTTTCCGAAGAACTTCGTGAGAAGTGGGTAACAGCAGGACCCGCCTCTGCCCTTTCCACCCTGGCTCGCTTCCGCCGCTTGCGTCCGTCTGGAGCGCGGCCACTTGGCCAGCACCTCTTCCCGCACTGCTAGGGGGTTTTAGGGCTTCTTAGGTCTTAGGGGGGTTTTTATGCCACCTGCCTAGCAGCCTCGCAACCGCACTGCAGGGATGCAACGCGTCCATCGTGAGTTTAGGGGTTCAGGGTTTAGGGTTTTCGTGAGTGCGTCAATGTGACAGGCTACTGGCGCAACACTGACACGAGTCACAGAACGGTCGTTTCTCCTGGCTTCTTTGCGCCCCAGGTCTGTCGCATTAGCTGAACTGCTACTACTAGGGCGGCTTCCTCTGAAAGCTGCCCTGAAACATATCGACTGTTCGATGTCTAAGAAAATGCTTCGAAAACGCACAAGATTTCTGGCCTAAGCAAATTCAAACGTCGGCGCTCGTGACCTGCCCCAAGCTGTTGAGGGCCTCGGCCTGCTTTCTTCAAAACCTCGGTACGGAGGAGCTCCCGCCAAAACTGACATCATCCTCTCTCTTGAGCTTGTGCCTCATGAAAGGAAAACGGCCTCCTGGTATTTCTTAAAACTGAGATGCCGAGGCACAACAAGGCCTCAGTGCATGCTGGGGTCCATAAGCTCTTCGTCAGGGACCTCCTCCGCCAAGCACATGATCCCATACCTCGCGCAGCACCAGTTCTCACATGATAAGGCTAAGCGACTAGCTGCTCAGGTGCGTCTTCCGACAGATCCGGCACGGTGAGGCCAACAAATGCAAAATCTGAGGCGCACCCAAGAAATAGTTCAAATTGCAATAACATACTGACTAACAATATCAATACTAATTTTATGAAGTAATAAGATATTAGAAGAAGAAGAAGAAGAATAGAACAGAATTTAATACACTATCACCTACATAATATGATCCGATATGGCATAAGAATAATAAGACTAGGAAGAAGAGCCTTATTATACTAATAAGTGCAAGAACACGAATGACAACGATAGCAATAATCTTAAGAAACTTTAAAAAAAAAACAAACATAAGCCCCTTGACAATAATAGCACTCATAAAACAAGCATAGAGCCCCTGACAATCTGCGGACCTCATCTGCGCATCCGGCCGGGGCGCTCCTGGAGCTCCTCAGTGATGTCGATCGCTCGCGCTTCGGTGCACTTGTCCACCAGGATGGCCTCTCGCGAGTTCAGATGAAAAGCATATTTATACATAGGCATAGGCATATACATGCAAAAACAAATAGAGATATATATATATATACACATATATATATATATATATATGTATATGTAGAAGTATATATATATATATATGTGTATGTATATGTAGAAGTATATATATATATATACACTTAACACACATAGTGCCGGAGACCCTGACCCTTTCTCCCCTCAAACCGAGTCCGTCGTCCGTCCTGTCCAACTCCCGGCGGATCTTTCGTGGCCTGAGAGCGCCGCTCTGCGTTTTGGGGGGTGCTTGGCTGGCAGCGCCTCTGACACCGGCCTCGTCATAAGCCCTCACGATCAGCGGGACTGGGATGTCGATCGTTTCCATCATGAGGCCCACGAAGTACTCCTGGAGAAGCTGTGCATATGGAGATCCCAAACAGCCGGATCTCACTCAGCTGTCCTTCCGCTTCCAGAAGTGGTGCCCTGTGTGCCCTATTCCTTAGATGCATCGGCTTTGCCTTGCAACTGGTGGGCTTGTTCTAAAATTAGGGCCCCCGGGGCTTCTCACATCAATGGTACCTTTCAAGAGCCCTTTTTTTGGGACAACATGGGGGTTTCCGAAAGTAGGGGTACCTTACTGGGGTGATCATGATAAGGGCGCCTACTACTTGGGGACCGACATTTGGGGTCCCCCTCTTTTCGTAAACCCCCACATCCTTTCAGCTCTTGGTAGCACAGGGGCTGATTCTCCACGGAGGCGGCATGATGATGCGCTCGCCGTCGAACTCAAACTCCGCGAGTCCAGCCAGGCCTATCCCGTAGGGTCTGCTCCAAGGTGTTCGGATCCCCAAAGGAAATGTGGTATCAATACTCGGGTGAATAGCACACAGTAACCCTAAACCCTGAACTTTGAGAACTCAAGGCTGACTCATGTCTGGGCAGCGGATTAACTCCGCCTCGCAGGTCATAAGCCTGTCGCTTTGCCGGATCACTCAGAACGTCGAAGGCCTTGTTGACCTGTCACAGCACCACTTGAGAGGCAGACACGAAAGTGGCAAACATGGCAAGTAAATCGTCGTTGAAGGGGGGTAACGGATCGCCCTCCACTGTGCCCCGATGCACCGCTTACTGTGCTTTCCTTGCTTGCCCCATCCGCACGAGGGATGGTTGACCTGCAGTGGGAAGGGCCTCCGAACAACTGAGGGCGCTCTCAACTCCTGCAAACGCCTGCACTTGCCTGCAAACGCCGACCTGCAAGGAGCTCCAAAGAAGCTTGCTGCTCCCTCTCGCTCCTCTCGTAAGCTGGCCTGCGAAAAGCGTTCTGCAACAGCCTCCTGCTCCTCAGCCGATGCCGTGCGGAACAAGTCCGGATGTGACAGGCGCGCCTGCTGACCTTACGCGACCGGATCACAGGACTGGCGTGAAGGTGCCACGCATGAACTAGCAGGAGCGAGGCAAAAGGGGGCCCCAACATCTGAACAAACTTTTCGGCCAAGAGTCGGTAGGCAGCTCTAATCTCCGATAAGGGTGCACCTTCTGCCACGCCAAGCATGGCATAAAAACTCGAATTGCCTGGTTTCGTTGCTCCGTTGACCGGAGGATCGGGCTTCTTGCTGGCGGCCTTCTTTTCTGGCTGCTGCGAAGATGCACCCTTTCCCGACACACTTCTTGTGGCCTGCTTGGGTGGCGCGGGGATCGGGGAAGGTTGGGGAGGGCTCTTCGCTGGCTCCGTTGGAACACGCGTCGGGGATGGAAAGCCGGATGGTGTCTTGGCTTGCTGGGACGGGGGATGTGGCTTGGAAGGTGATGGAAATCCAGATGGAGTCTGTGACTCCGCAGTTGGCTGCTGAGCCGGGATTCCTGACACAGCTCCGTTCGACGAAGGAAAGCCGGACCCTGCTGGAGCTGGGGACGGAAACCCCGGTGACCTCGGTGGTCCTTGCGTCGACGGCTGTCGCGCTTGTACCTGCGAGGGGACTCCGGAGCCATTCGGTGATCGGTGCTGCGACGGAAAGCCTGAGCCACTGCGGCGTTCTTGTCCTGCCGGTCTTTCAGGCTCTGGTACAGGTTGTGGCTCTGGTGGTGTCCATTTTTTCTGCATTAGGGCGGCAAAGCTGGACACCCCATTTACGGCTGTCTTCTTCGAGCTGGCCTGGCTTGCAGCTTCTTGCTGTTGTTGCTGCTGTTGCTGCTGTTGCTGCTGTTGCTGCTGCAGCTGCTGTTGCTGCTGCAGCTGCTGTTGCTGCTGCAGCTGCTGTTGCTGCTGCAGCTGCTGTTGCTGCTGCAGCTGCTGTTGCTGCTGCAGCTGTTGCTGCTGTTGCTGTTGGTGTTGCTCTTGCTGCTGTTGCTGCTGCCGCCGCCATCGGTGGCGCTGCTGCTGGTGTTGGAAACCGGTTTGTGAGCTTTGCTTCCTTATACTGTCGGCTTGCGGCTTGGCAATAAACTGTCCTTGAAACGCTCTTCTGCCGCAGCCTCCTGCTCTCTGACCAGCCCACCCGAGTGAAACGGGGCCGGCAACGGTGGTAGGAGATGACCCTCTTGGTAAGACAAACAGGCTGATGGCACCCGAGACGGACAAGCAAAAGCCCGCCTTGGTGGCATGCTGGCTTTCTTGCAGCGAGAAGCAAGGAAACTCTCTCACGTCTCTAACATCTCATAAGCCAGCATTTTGCCAAGCGGCGAAGATCACCTTTGGCCCTAGTCTAGATGCAGCGCGCCTTCGACTCAGCCGTGTAGGAGCAGCCATATTCCATCGCAGCATTGGAAACTTCAAAAGGGGTGCATCTGGCAGGTCGGCCGAATGAAGGTTGTTGGGAAGCGATGGGCATCCTGCCGAATTAACTAGGGTTAAGATCAAGACCACAGAGACGCTGTGATCCTCCCTGTCTCTATCTTGCGTAGCTGGACAAATGCTGCAGATCTCTGTCATAAACTCAAAGGTTCGCTATTCTGTCATGCTTCTTCCGGGCATCGAGAAACCTCTCCGCGCCATCGGGCAGATGACAGATGACCACTTGGCAAAAGAGCTGGCATGCTTGTAGCAAGGGCAGGCAGCTCTTCACGGTGAGAAGCATCTGGGCCCAGCACTGCACGCAAAGAAAGCCTTCATCCTGACATCAAGACCACACCTCTGCAGCTCTGCCTTGAAACATACTGACAAAGGGTCAAAGAGCTCCTCCTTCGCGCAGCCAAGGATGGCGAAGATGCCATCCTCATCCCTCATCTGCACCTCAAAGTCGCACAAAGTGCCCTAAACCCTAAACCCTAAACCTTAAACCATAAACCCTAAACCCTAAACCCTAAACCCTAAACCCGAGCTTCTCAAAGGCGCCATGGCGAAGTTCTTGCCCTCGTCCTGACAGAACTTCACCTGAGCTCAGCCAGTCAGCCTCGGCCTTGCTCTTGCAACTAACAATTTTTAGGGTTTAGGGTTTCGGGTTTAGGGTTTAGGGCTAGGGTTTAGGGCATTTTTATGTCTTGGGATGTTCCCCCTTATACTACTAGCCCTTTAGAGTAGCCCCCAACAGCCCTTTATAGCACCCCCTGTCTTAAGGGCTGTGAGTATAAGGGGGCGCATCCCAGCTTCTCTCTCCCAAAGAGGTGACATCCAAGGCTGGGGCATATCTGACGGTGCCATATGGGGAGAGCCCTTCCTGGAAGAGCCCAAAACTCCCCAAGAGAAGCCCACTAGCGCACTAGCACAGCATACCCCTCCTATTTGCTTAAGAACCACCCAAAAAAGAAGTTATTCCCTATTGAGGCATTAGAGGGACTATTACTCTATGTTGTTTGGGGGGTTTTAAGCAAATGGGAGCACCATGAGTCATTTCACGCAAGTGTCCTTGAGTTCCCTCCACGACATCGATGCCGGCACATCGTCCTAAGCGTCACTGCGTTCAGCTACGCGGGACGTGTGAGCCTTCTTAGTGCAAACCCTAAACCCTAAACCCTAAACCCTAAACCCTAGAGTGATGCAAAAAGGTCTGGCGGCCAACTTGGCCCGCTGCAAAACGCAGAACCAGGCCCCGCTCCTCAGGCGACAGGTGGCAGAAGTAACGTGTCAAGACCCAAGTAATCCCCTGAAACATCGTCTAAGCAGCAAGTATACCTTTTTGTTGTAAGTGTCGCCTCTTTACTTAAGCAGCACGTATACCTATAAGGTCTCCAACTTTGTTTGCTCCATGTGCTTCTCTTGTTTGAGGGGTTGCAGCAGCACCTGGCTTTGCAGCGCCGACCCATTTAAGGGCTAGAAGGAGGGACCCCCTAGAAGGGACCTTGATCTTATTCCCCTCTATAATCCATATATAGACCTTATGTGTCCCTTTTTACCTAAGTGGCCCCTAAAGTACACCCAAATAACCCCTAAGTTCTGAAAAGGGGCCCTCCTTTAGTCCCGTGAGACCCATATGCGGGCAGGTGTCTTCATATCGAGACGCTTCATCGGCTTCCTCCTCGAGGCCTCATTTAGGGTTTAGGGTTTAGGGTTTAGGGTTTAGGGTTTGGGGTTTGGGGTTTGGGGTTTGGGGTTTAGGGTTATGAACTCCAAGAGGGGGGGGGGGGGGGATATGGGGAGGTTTACGATACTAGGGGGTACCAAATTTGGGGGTCCTTACTATTTGAAAAGGGGGATGCTACTATGTCACTATGTGGGGGTCTTTTTTAGGGGTCCCTTATTGTCGTAAGCCGCCATGTGGGTCGAAAAAACTTGAAAGGTGAACCAAAGACGGCTTATCTGTGGAGACTGGGCGCTTGAAGCTAACAACAACGCCAACGATGTCTTGCTTTCGAGCGCCTTCGCTGCCGCGAAGGCGGTGCTTAAAAGATCCGTACTTTCACATCGCCACCGGGCTTTTGCTTCCCAGCTGAACAGCGACTCTTTCCTCCTCCTCTTCCTCCTCCTTCGTATCCTCAAGGGTGACTTCAGGACAGCCGCCATTGTCCGTTCGAGCAGTGTCATTCCTGGCTCCAGGCCTGGCCAACCAAAAGGGCTCACGGCAACATGGGAACAACACGAGAGTCAGGTCCGAGAACAACCGTCAGTCACAGCTAGAGACAAACATACAGCACGCCCAGGACCTGTTTCAACCACGACAACGAAGCAACAAGAAGAAGAAACATCAATGACACATCAACGGAACATCAATGGAAAAAACAATGACAAACGATACATCTATAGAATGTATATATATATATATGTGCCTCCGTCTGAGCCACGAAAAAAACTCCTTGGGAGCAGCTCCCATATTTGCAGCTGAGCTACGGCGCTTCCGGGAAGCACGCTCCTCTTCCGCGCCTGTCAGAGAAAACATCAGAAAATCAAAAAACAAGTCGCCCCACGCTCTCGGACAAAAAGGTACTTAAAGCCCAGGCAGTGGCTGGCACATTAAACTCAATAAAAGTCCAACCTCTGATCACATGCTCCCATATGCTCCCCGGGGCCTTGCGCCTCTTGCTGCTGCTTCTTCTGCGCCTGGCGACAGCTTGTGCAATCTTGTGCGAAGCTTCTGTGGTTGAGAGCATCCACGTCTTTTGCTTTGAAGCTGCCAACTTTTGCCTCCCGATTGCGGCGGACATCGCACATCCGCAACCTCGTAGGGTCCGACCGTCCGACCAGCACCACCAAACAATAAGAAATGATGGGACAAGCATATAGTTATGCTTCTGGGAACTGTTGAGTTTCACAGCTAAATCTCGCGTATTTTGTCAGCATTCTCTCTTTTCTCCTTACGGACGCGCTGGTGCGGTGTGGGAGTGGTCAGGTCGGTTGAGCAGGTCAACCGCCCAGCCAGAGTTGATGGCACTCTCTGCCCAAGCAATGTCAGATGCACAGACGAACTGGCAGGTCAACGGTGACGGTGAAAATGCACTTTGATATGCCTGACAGGGCCACTTGCTACCCCCTGTCAGCTGCTCACGAAACAAAACGAAGCCAAACCACCAAAGCAATCTACGAGGATGAATTTCCTCAAGTGCCCACATAGGCAGCTGAGGTTGCGAGATGACAGCGAGGTTTAGGGTTTAGGGTTTATGGTTTTGGGTTTAGGGTTTAGGGTTTAGGGCTTAGGGTTTAGGGTTTAGGGTTTAGGGGTTCCCAGCCTGGAGCTGCAAGGTGCGAGCGTCGGGATCTGCCCCTGCATCGATCAATGGGCCCACGACGCCCCGTGTGCGGTGACCTCGTCACAGGGCTGACAGCCCTGGCCACTCCTAGCTGCTACCATGAGACTTACCTCCTACAAGAGGCACAGACAGTCCTTCCGCCTCAAGTTTGAGATGCAACTTAAGCAAAAAGCCGCCGTGCAGAAGCAAAGTGCGTCAGGTCAGGCAAACTTGATGCCGCGCAAGCTGCGGTAGCCGCCGTAGCTTGCATCACCTGAATCTGACGACCCATCGGCTGTCATCTTCCGGGACTCGAAGGCTGCACCTGGGCTTTCCATGAGAGCTTTCAAGAGATGGCCTGGCTCGGCTCTACGACCATCACACCCCGCCCTCTCCAGCCTCCACTTTGAAACCCCCGAAAGAACATGCTTACGCGTGAGACGGAAGCCCTTCAACGCGCGCAAAACCTGACAGGGCGCCGTAGAGAAGCGCGGACCATCCGCTCGGAGTCACCTGCTGGCTCTGGGCAAGTCTACTTCGAGCACTGGAGTCAGGCTCAGGCGAGACGCCAAGCTGCCCTGGACCCACTGTGCACCCCAACAGTCTGGACAAGACGTTCATCAACTGCTGGAAATATCTCGCTTATCTCACACCACCCCCCTCAAGGAAGTCGGATTGCTTGTTGGTCATCCCACGCACCTTCGAGGCACATGCACCTAGTCGCAGAATCGCCTGCACCCACCGGACACCTGCGCAGGCACTCGTCACAGAACAACGTGCGGTAGACATGTACTGGGCAGCCACAAAGAACTACTAAAACTATCATATGTCGGTAGAAGCCATACAACCTCAGACCAGCAGCCAGCATCAAAAGCCAGGAATGAACGCCCGTAAAGTTACTTTGGTAAACGAGGTTCTGCGTGAAAGTGCAGAGCATGCTGGGGGCCTTGTCGCGTGGCCCACATCAGGGTGGTGGCCTCCGTCAGCCCGCGCGGCCGCGTGCAAGCAATCAGCGCGCGACCATCCAGCTTGCCTCAGGCTTGAGATGCCTTCTCACTATTCTTCGAACATTCAGAAGCAGAACGGACCCCACATTGAGGCCACCCCCCCCCTCCCAAAAAGAAAAGAAAAACGAACTGGATGAGCTTGCCTGAAGAGCTTTGTAAAGGCAAGCGGCCTGGCGTGTCCGCAGGGACCAGGTTCATCTGAGTGACCTCTTCGAGGCTTCCCCCTGAGGCCAAGCGCACGCGGATGGCAGCCTCGACTGCTTTGAGCTCAAGGCGCATGGCTTCCTGGATCCCTGTCCTTGGGATCGCACTTTTGGACACTTGCCGAACTTCCTAGGCTTGGCCCTTCAAGCACAAAGAGTATCAAAAAAAACATGTACGCTGCTTGAAAATTACCCTTAAGGGGCTTCGGAAGAGCGAGGCAAGGCTCCCCCACAACAGGCCAAGGCGCGAGGTCATGCCGTTGGCGAACTCTCGGGCCAGTTGCTGCATGTGCTCGGATCGTCTCTTCGGTTTTGGCATGTTTGCGGGCTTGCCCAGATGGGCCCAGATGTAGACGGAGTTCGCCTCAGTCCAGCAAGCTAAGAACACCTGATGAAACTGTAGAAGAGGCCTCAACACGCTTTGGCGCAGCATTCTAGAGAATTGCAGGGCAGGCTAATGCCCTGACTGTGCGAGGCCTTGGCAAGGCCTTGCCAAGGGCCTGGCCTAGGTCGAGGCTAACTTAGCCTTGGGAATTCTTTATGGCGAGAGAAGAATCCGAGGGCCTGCTTTGGAAGTGCTTTCTTTGGCCTTCTCGCACGAAGCAAGCTTCATAAGGCCCATTGGTGATTCAGAACGTCCTTCAATCCTGGCTGTGGTGCCCCACCCGACCGTGTCCTCTTGGCCCTTAGCCTGATGGAGGAGTCTTGGCGACTGTGGTGATGGCGTTTCTTCGAAAGGATTTGCGCGAAGGAATCAGGTTGTCGATGCTCATCGTGACATGCACAAACACCTGTAGTGCTGCAAGGAACGATGTACATAAACTTCTCTAAGCCCTGCGCCAGCTTTGGCATTGGCCACTCTTCAGCATCAACACCAGCAAGCCAGCTTAGCCGCAGCACGGCCGCCCGGAATCTTTCTTCAGCCAGTAGTCTGTCCAGCGTCTGATGAGGTGCGAAGGCGTCCTCCCGTTTGCATGTTTACCACATGTTTGCTAAGGGCCCGGTTTTGCATGCCCACCAAAAAATCACAGAAAAAATGCGCCAGTCCTTGTACACCGCCTTGGCCTCTCGCTGCAGAGCACGCCAGTCCCCAGAACAGCTGCGTGCGACCGCGAACCAGCAAACGACTGGCAGTGGCGGCCTGCAGCTCTACTCTACGGGATTTTTGTTCAGCTCGGCCCCCCCAGGGCCAAAATGCGTTTGGAACTTGCAGACCCCTCTCCCCGTCTACCACCCTGCCCGAGCTCCACTCGGCAACAAGCACTCGAGCAGAGACAACAAGCGCGACACTGCAAGCCTTTACCGCTGGTCAACAAAAAAACAAGGTTGCAGCGGTCCTCCAGCAAGCCGATACAGCCCCCGAGCTAACGCACGCTGCTGGTTCAAGGCTTCGGGTTACGGGTTGGCTGCTCTCCGGCGTCGTTTTCCTCGACCTGCGGTCGCTTTCCGCATCTGCAACCCGACCGTGCGGACTGGAAACTCCTAAGTACACCCTTGGACCGCCGACGTGCACGTCCCGCAGCTTGGGCCGCCCAGCTACCGAAGCAGCGCACGCAATTGCACGAGCTATGTGCACATGAACCTATCATTGAAACCCCTCCATGTTCAGATATGTTCAGATAAGACGCAGCAAGAGGGCGGCTGTGTCGGCGCCAAGCAGCTTCGAAGCCAGACCCATGGCCAGGCGCTCTCTATATCAGGAACCAAGTTAGGGCTGAACCCAGGCATGCTGGTCTGCTTGCTGCTGATTGCAACTGCATGTTGCGGAGTGGGTGCTTGGCTGCTAGTCCTTGGCAATAAACCTCGACAGCCCACACGGCCACGGCAAATTTCGTCAAAATAACAACTCAAACCTCCGTCCAGCTAGCAGGTAGCATATCGAGCTGTGACAAGGGTCCGGCGCACGGATCGCATCGCCGTTCCAAACCAGTTGGTGCCTGCATCGAGCTCAACAGTTTACAGGCGGGTTGCGCGTTCAAGCCGTCTGACGGCCCATCCGCATTCGCAGGATCTGGCAAAGTTTTTGGGAAAGGCACTCCATGGCGATCACCGCCACTGCTGCCTCGCAGCGGTGTCAGGGAACTAAGGGCACCTGGTGCAACTCACAGTTGTCTAACATCGGCCTCCTCGTTCTCAAACTCCACCTCAACAGTGCCGTTGAACGGATTCTGGCCTGGGCGAGTTGCGTTGGCTTTGGCGCTCGTGGCAAGAAGGGCTCACGAGCACACCGAGTCTTTGACCATCGGCATCTGGGTGTCTGTCCCGGAGCCTCGACGACTCAGGCATGTCGGACAAGGCATGCCGGAAATCCGCAGCACGTCCACTACAGCATGGGCAGTCGTCGGGCCTAAAGGCGATCTCGCTATGTTGGCACTTCTGGGTTCAGATGTCAATGCCTTTTTTGTTGCTCTTTTTAGGCACCTGGCAGCTTCACAAAGAAGACGGGCCCGAAAGACTTGCAGAAGTTTGTCATGGACTCGATACCGACCGTCTCATCACCTCGCAGATCCGGGAGCACCAACAACAAAGCACAAAGTGCAAACCCCCTGCCTCGCTTAAAACCTGTGAGTTGAACGCACCGCCTCTCCTTGGCATGAAGTCTCCATCAAATTGGAGCATGGCCACAAAAAAACGACCGAAGGCTCCAGGACTCTAGGGACAGCACGAACTCGCTGCCCGGGCCCCCCAAAGCCCTGAGATTTGCTTTTGTTTTTCCATGTAAGAGAGGTTTAGGGTTTAGGGTTTAGGATGTTTGCCCCTCCGCACGAATCTCTGCACCCCCAAAAGTCCAGGAAATAGGAAGCTGGCGGGGGTGGCAGAGCTGCCCCGCCAGTGCGCCGCACAGCGTCTCGTGGAGCCTTGGACCAGGAAAAATGCCCCTAAACCTTAAACCCTAAACCCTAAACCCCAAACCCTCTTTGCTAAACCCTTTTTGCTTCAGGGCTCCTGTGGTAGCTTGCCTGTGAGCGAGGTTGTTCAGGCGACATCATGCGAGTCGGATGACTTCGTCAACGACCCTGTCCTGAACCTCTTCAATAAACCCTAAACCCTAAACCCTAAACAAATTTGGGTCCATGATCCCCGGCTGTGGCCCTGACCGACAACTCCAAGTTGAACTTGGGATCTGCAGCCTTTGCCCCCCACAACACGGGTCAGGATCTGCTGCTGCCGTTTAGGGTTCAGGGTTCAAGGTTCAGGGTTTAGGGCTTAGGGTTTAGGGTTTATGGTTTAGGGTTTAGGGTTTAGGGTTTAGGGTTTAGGGTTTAGGGTTCTTCCTTGCGGCCTCGATGGCCGCCACAATTTCGGCAGCCGTCGAACCTAATCGTTCGTCACGATCTACGGTGAACCGCGCTGCATCCCGATATTGTAGATTCAAGCTTGAAGCGACATCTCGGCAAACTGCGTAGACTCACATAATCAGATTTTAACTTGCTCGCACCTCTGTGGCACATGCTGTTGCCGGATGCTGCCGGGCAATTTGCACCAACCACCGCCAAGTGCCACCGGGCAACAGCCCATAAGGCGAAGCCGCTTGAAAGGAAGGATTACCTTTCAACTGCAAAATGCTGCAACTACCTTTATCTACCTTTACGCAGATTCAGCTAACGCTCAGCTGGGCGCGGCGATCTTCACGTATCCCTCGTTGGAGGCCTCCTGCCACATCTTTCGGGTCTTGCTCCAACTGGTTCCTGACAACTCGCCTGGGTCTCCTACTTACGCCGGGCTGAGCCGCGAGCGATCTCTTTGCGTAAGAACCAATCGCGGCGTAGATTGGCATCCTGGCCGCGCAAGTCAAGACGCCCCGTGCATCAGAATGCGTACGAAAGATTCTCGGAAAATGCGGAGTTCACCCGGAGTTGACTCACAACACGTGTCCGAAAAGTAGAAGGCCAGCTGTCGGATGAGTGCTGGCTGCCGCCTTGGAATCTCATGCGCACCAAACACACGAATCGGCACCGTCAGTGTGAGATCTCCCGGGGGATTGGCCCGGCTCGGTCTGCTAGCAATGTCTCCACTGCCTTGACAGCCTGCAAAACCGCGACATGCTGCAACCACGGGGATGCATCTTCACAGGCAAGCCTCTTCCAGCTGGTCCAGGTCTGTAAGTGTGTCCCTCAGCGTGAAAGTAAGACACAAACCTTTTTTGGCACTTGGATAGCAAGGTAGCTAGGTCTGTGATGCTGGCAGAGCTGTCTGAAGCCTGAGGGGCAACACGATCATGGCTGCAAGTGGCACACCCTAAACCCTAAACCCTATTCCCTGTTGCCCTTTTTGCAACTGGGCTGGGGGACTAGCCAGTTCCCCTAAACCCCAAACCCGAAACCCCACGCGACAAAACATGCCAGCTTGTCTGGTCCAGAAGCTGCTGCCGGGTTTTGCGTACGGCCTGTGACGAAGGCAGTTGGGGTTTCCGAAAATAGGGTTGCCCTCTTGGGGTCCTTCGTATAATTATTACTATTTTTATTGTTACTATTTTTATTAGTATTATCATTGTTTTTCATTTATTCTTATGAATATTCTCATTGTCATTACAGGAGGGTTGCCATCTTGGGGTCCTGATGATAGGGAGATCCTACTATTGATTAGGGTTTACCATACCGGGGTCCTTATGATAAGGGGATCCTGCTATTATAGGGTTTACCATATTGGGGTCCTTATTATAGAGGCCCTACACTATTCGGGGATCTATTTTGCGGGGGGTCCCCTATTTTCGTGAACCCCCAAGTTCGCAAACTGCAGAAGGGACTGCCATGGGCTGCCTCGCTGCCATCACCAACGGTCGGGACAGACGATGGTTTGTCATCTCGGTCCGCAAAACAAGAGTTTTCGGAGCTGTGCACAGATTGCCAATAAGGCGCACGCCATAATCCAGCAACTCCTCTTTCTGAACATCACTGGCCACATCTTGCGCCATGAGGGCATCTGGTCCTACCTCTAGCATACTTTACGTGTTTTGGTGCGGTGCTCACTGTCTGCATAGTTTCGCATGGAATGTGGCAAATATAAACCGTTGTGATAAAACCTCGGGAACGAAGGCAAACTAATGCACGGCTCCAGAAGATCATCAACATGGTCATATCGTGCACACAAAGCTACAGACACCCATGACACACTTCAGCTTCAACCGAAGGCGCATATGCGGTAGCTTCCACGTGATGGCCCTACACCTTGCAATGAGAGGGGTCAGATGCGCAACTCCTGGCTGGAATTCCAAAAGACCAGTCCATTGACTAGCCTGTCTTGTCATGTCGCACGGGGCAAAGCCCCCACCAAACCAACCATGCGAATGGAGCATCGATAGCCTAACGTCCTTTCTTTCCCCCACCCAAGCCGATCTGTACATCTGTACACCACCGCTTCTCACGAGAAAGAAATGCTCCGTTCGTTGAGTGGGACCAGCTAAAGTGAAGCATCTCGTGTCTTCATGATTTTACATAGGATTGGAGGAACTCCCTCTTTCAAGGTGAGCTCTTTTGTCTCAATCGTCTGCAAGCCGAGTCTGGCATAGAAGCCTTCGGCCACCAGTGAAGAGCAGCACTCGAATTCCACGACGCCAAACTCCTTGCTCTGCTGTGCGCACGCTTCGAAGATGCTTCTCCCAATGCCTGCAACGGAGGTCGACCCAAGGATGGGACCAGAAACCCCTACCCAACGACGTCCACCTGTGACAAAACTACAGGGAGCCAGCAAGTGATCTGGGGCGTGCAGGAAACTGTGCGTGTGCATAATCCCGTTTCGTGAATGATGCCCCCAACTACTGAGTGACTACTGTGTGCAGTGTGTCAAAAACTTGCAGTGAGTTTATCAACTTTGTTTGAGCTCCGGCCCTGCCTTTCCCGATGCAATCCGGGTGGACCGCGAAATGGCGCAGGTGACCAAGGCCAGCGATCACCTCGCGTGAACCCGGGCGATGCAACGACCAGCCACCACACGCGAGGATGCGCGTTTCGCCAGATTCGGCGGATTCGGCGACGAAGAACTTCCCGGACTCCAACCTCAGTTCCATCGCAAAAACACCTTGTGAAATTTGTTCCCTTGCCAATTGAGTCTCGACTCGTCCGCACTACTGCAACACGAGAACTGGAAACTTGTACCGACAGCCTTGTCTGCCCCGCTACCGAAGTTGTTCAAACCAAGGTTGTAGGTCGTTCATCCTTGTCAGCTCCTAGTCGGAAAACATTACAAACTTTTCTATTTTCGACCGCTCCATTCTTTTCGCCTGGCCTAATTTGACAAGCTGCAGCTCCGGCTGTGAGTAGATGATATGTGGCAAGAACGCCGCCAAGGCCTCTTCATCATAGGCGCCGCGGAAGAGCACCGGATAGCACTCACCCAGAAGCTTGTCGATCGCCGGCCCATCGGACAAGTCGGCCACACGCACGGCAACAAACTGTCCTTGAACTGCTCTTCTGCTGCAGCCTCCTGCTCTGTCACCAGCCCAACCGAGTGAAACGGGGCCGGCAGCGGTGGTAGGAGATGACCCTCTTGGTAAGACAAAGAGGCTGATGGCGCCCGAGACGGACAAGCAAAAGCCCGCCTGTGTGGCATGCTGGTTTTGCAGCGAGAAGCAACAAAACTCTCTCACGTCCCTAACAAGCCCCACGCAACCTCAAAGCCAGCATTTTGTCAAGCGGCGAAGATCACATATGACCCAAGTCTAGATGCAGCGCGCACCCGACTCAGCCGTGTAGGAGCAGCCATATTCCATCGCAGCATCGTAAACTTCAATAGAGCTGCATCTGGCAGCTCGGCCGGCTCTGGGGAAGCGAGGGGCATCCTGCCTAACTAACTTGGGTTGAGATCAAGACCACCGAGACGCTGCGATCCTCCCTGTCTCTATCTTGCGTAGCTGGACAAATGCTACAGATCGCTGCTAGTGCCGCGCCTTGGGGAAGGTGACAGATGATCACTTGGCAAAAGATTGCATTTTCTGAGACATCTGCGTGCTGGCGCACGGTTGATTCGACCCAAGGATGTCGTCATGAATTGTCAGGCCTGTCTATCCGACGTTGTGATGGATGCTTGGGAACCCAAGCATCCATTGACTGTATTTGTTTCGTGGCCTGCCATTCTTGGCTGCGCAAAGGAGGAGCTGAGGAGCTCTGACAATTTCGGATCAAGGCAAAGGCACAGGTTTTTCTGTTGTCAGGATGCAGGCTTCCTATGCGTGCGAGCAACCGACGACGGCTTATCTGCGGAGACTGGGCGTTTGCACGCTTCTGGTGGGCCCACAGCCACGATTCGCAACGATGTCTTGCTTTCGAGCGCCTTCGCTGCCGCGAAGGCGGTGCTGAAAAGATCTGTACCTTCACATCGCCACAGATTTTTTTTGCTTCCGAGACTGGATCCCGGAAGTCCCACCCATGCCACATGGAACATCGCGCGCAGCCATCTGCGATATGAGACATAGGCGTAGGTTCCGGTGGCAGGTTTCGAATGCTCGAGAAAACCTGGGCAGACCGCTCATGATCGACGTGGCAGCAGATGGGAGCCACAACTTCTGTAACATGTTGCGTTATGGTCCAAATCTACGTTGACCCCTTTCTATAGGTCTGAACGCACTGAAAGGATTCGCAGGTACACGTAGCTGACCAGGCTCCACTTTCCACTCTGTGCCCTAGCTTCACAAGTCCCCTTCATGATTGAAACATATCGCAAAAACAACTTACCTGCAAAAACTCTTTCCTATCAGAGCAGTCACACTTACTTACTTACTTACTTACTTACTTACTTACTTACTTGCTTACTTACTTACTTACTTACTTACACACGTACTTACTTACTTACTCTTCCACTTACTTCCACTGACACTGACACTGCCACTGCCACTGCTGCTGCCACTTACACTTACACTTGCACTTACACTTACACGTACGCCTATGCCTACGCCTACGCCTACACCTACACCTACACTTACACCTACACTTACACCTACACTTACACTTTTACACTTGCAATGAGAAGGGTCAAATGCGCAGCTCCTGGCTGGAACTCCGAATGACCAATCCATTGAGGTCACAGCTTGTCTTGTCAAGTCGCAACTAAGGGAAAAGCCTTCACTAAACCATCTATGCGAATGGAGCATCGAGAGCTTAACGCCCTTTGTTTCCCCACCGAAGCTGCAGATCTGTACATCTGTACACCACCAAAGTCAAGTCGCGGACAAATCTTGGTGCCATGTCAAAGTAGCTGTTGGAGATGGGGGGGCGTTTCTCGTGGTTTCTCACGAGAAAGAAATACTCCGTTCGTTGAACGTTGAGTGGAAGACTCGGGAGCCATCATATCTGGCCAGCCAACTAAAGTGAAGTATCTCGTGTCTTCATGATTTTACATGGGATTGGAGGAACTCCCTCTTTCAAGGTGAGCTCCTTCGTCTCAATCGTCTGCAAGCCGAGTCTGGCATAGAAGCCTTCGGCCACCAGTGAAGAGCAGCACTCGAATTCCACGACGCCAAACTCCTTGCTCTGCTGTGCGCACGCTTCGAAGATGCTTCTCCCAATGCCTGCAACGGAGGTCGACCCAAGGATGGGACCAGAAATCCCTACCCAACGACGTCCACCTGTGACAAAACTACAGGCAGCCAGCAAGTGATCTGGGGCGTGCAGGAAACTGTGCGTGTGCATAATCCCGTTTCGTGAATGATGCCCCCAACTACTGAGTGACTACTGTGTGCAGTGTGTCAAAAACTTGCAGTGAGTTTATCAACTTTGTTTGAGCTCCGGCCCTGCCTTTCCCGATGCAATCCGGGTGGACCGCGAAATGGCGCAGGTGACCAAGGCCAGCGATCACCTCGCGTGAACCCGGGCGATGCAACGACCAGCCACCACACGCGAGGATGCGCGTTTCGCCAGATTCGGCGGATTCGGCGACGAAGAACTTCCCGGACTCCAACCTCAGTTCCATCGCAAATACACCTTGTGAGATTTTTTTCCTTGCCAATTGAGTCTCGGTTCGTCCGCATTACTGCAACACGAGAACCGGAAATTGTTCAAACCAAGGTTGTAGGTCGTTCATCCTTGTCAGCTCCTAGTCGGAAAACGTTACAAACTTTTCTATTTTCGACCGCTCCATTCTTTTCGCCTGGCCTAATTTGACAAGCTGCAGCTCCGGCTGTGAGTAGATGATATGTGGCAAGAACGCCGCCAAGGCCTCTTCATCATAGGCCCCGCGGAAGAGCGCGGGATAGCACTCACCCAGAACCTTGTCGATCGCCGGCCCATCGGACAAATCGGCCACACGCACGGAAATTGCCATGTGGATCCGCCACGGCTTTCTGCGATTGACGTTGCTGGGCCAAGATCTCAGCGCACATTGTTACACTCAGTATGCACTGGCATGTCCGGACGAACTGCCTCAAAGCCTGGAAATATGTTCGGTGGTTTGGTTTCCCCCTGTGGGCTCGTTGGCTGTAGCATAAACTGACATATTTCTAAAGGAACACAAGTGGCATCATGTTGCGTCCGATTCTTGCCCTGGAACCTCACCGGCTCCCCCTGGACTGTCATGCTGGTGTTACGGGTGGGCTTGGCGGGGGCGATAATGTACACAGCATACGAACCTTGGGTATAAGCGCAGTGTCCTCTGGAAACATGTACGAACTTCTAGCATACTGTATGCTGCAGTATACTTTGGTATAGGAGATGGGTTTGGGAGCTTTGAAGACGTTTACGGGCAAAACGGTGTTGGGGGAGACGGGTGCCATGGCTGAAAGCTTTTGCTTGTGGCCATAAGTGTAGTGCCAAAGATTGGGTCAGACTGTGCGAATCTGCACACCGAGAAAGAGAGCTATGCCCTCAAGCGATCAGACACCGCAGTGCTGTCGCCGCCATAGTATTGGCAGCCCCAGGACACAACAGACCCATCAGCCAAGACGGCAGCAAAAGCCCACGTGGAGCACTGAATCTGCTGCACGTTTCTCAGCTGATCACGCACAGCACTGCTGTTGCCACCATTGTTAGCATCGCCCCAAGTCACAACGCATCCATCGTCCAGGATTGCAGCAAACGAACCTTGACAGGCTTGCACCTGCTGCACATTCATGAGCTGCTCTCGCACAGCGCCACTGTCGCCAGCAGAATATCCAGTATCGCCCCAGGTCACGAGAGATCCATCGCACAGGGTCGCCGCAAAAGCGAGCTCAGACGCTTGGATATGCCGCACGTTCTTCAGCTGTTCTTGCACGTCACTGCTGTCGCCTCCACCACTGGCCTCGCCCCAAGTCACGACAGCTCCACCGCTCAGGATGGCTGCAAAGGCGTAGCCAGAAGCTTGGATCTGCTTCACGTTTACCAGTTGATGTTGCACTGTACTGCTGTCGCCTCCATGAGTGGCTGTCCCCCAGGTCACGACGGATCCATCAGCCAGGATCGCAGCAAAGGCGCGACTTGAGGCTTGGATGTGCTGCACATTCCTCAGTTGATGTTGCACGGCCCTGCTGTCGCCACCAAAGCCAGCATTTCCCCAAGTCACAACGGATCCATTCTCCAGGATCGCAGCAAAAGCCTTCGAATTGGCTTGGATCTGCTGCACGTTCTCCAGTTGATCTTGCACCGTGCTGCTGTCGCCACCATTGTGAGCATCGCCCCATGTCACGACAGATGCGTCACCCAGAACGGCAGCAAACGAGCTAGAGTTGGCTTGGATCTGCCTCACATCTTTCAGCTGATCATGCACAGCGCTGCTGTCGCCACCAAAGGCAGCATTACCCCAGGTCACAACGGATCCATTACCGAGAATCGCAGCAAAGGCGCTTGAACTGGCTTGGATCTCGTGCACGTTCTCCAGCTGATCTTGAACAGCACTACTGTCGCCACCACAGTCAGCACGGCCCCAGGTCACAACAGACCCATTGCTGAGAATCGCAGCGAAAGCATAATCAGAAGACTGGATCTCCTGCACATTTTTCAATTGATCTTGAACAGCGGTACTGTCCCCACCGGTAGCACCCGTGCCCCAGGTCGCAACCGATCCATCGATAAGGATTGCAGCAAATGCTGACAAACTGCTGCATAGCTGAACCGTCATGATCTGCAAGGTCAGCGAGTCACCGCTTTGAAGCTTGGCTTCTTGCACTGTGGCCTGAGCAGGGTGCAAGAACAGGAAGAGGAACAAAGGCAGCAACAAGCACAACAGCAATTTGATTCTGAAAAGCATGTGTCAGCGTATTGTCAGTTTTGTAGTAGCAAACCATGGCTGCCTGCTCGTGCAGAACGGCTCCTGTGGAGTCAAAAAGTCGGCCTTTGTTTACGGCCAAGGCTGCTTGCGCCTGCCGCCTCAATGTTCTCACCGAAGCACCCAGGCCAACTTCCAATGAAACTGTCCTGCCACTCAAAAGCCCGACATCAATGATCACGGACATGACGGCCGGCCACATCCACGAGTAGTGAAACGCATCCCCTGGCGGCAACTTGAACACGCACACGCACGGTTCGACTTGGCAAATGGCTTGCCTAAACTTAGGGCCTAAACCGCTGGGATTGGGTTAATTTGTTTCTTCTCCGATCGCAACACGCTGATGCGCATCACGCACGCAAGGGCAACCTGGAGAGTTGCTCAGCCTCGGCGAGCTGCAGGACCCACGCGAGCGGTGTGTGCTCGCCGCCGGTAAGCTGCGCCGGCGCTCGCCAGCAACCGCCCACAACAGCGTCGAGGCCAAGGCGCGCTGCAACGCGCATCCGAGCCGCCCCCACCAGCGGCGTTCCCACCCGGCGCGGGCCGCTGCACGCAGCGCCCGCGGCGCGCGCGGGGAGCGCTGTTGCGCGAGGTGACGAGATACAGGTCGTCCAAAAACGCGGCGAGGAACTCCCCCGGCTCCAATCGCCCTTGTGCCGCAGCCAGGGCGTCGTGTTGCGCCAGGGAGTACAGAGACGGCGCTAAGGCATCTCCCTGCTCGCAGCCGTCACCTTGCGAAATCTCGTGGCGCCGGCCCTCGGCGTCCCACTACAAATACGTGGAGGCCGTGGAGGTGCCACCGTACCACACCCGTACACACGGGATGAGGGCTGGAGCAACCTCACACAGCTTCGCCGTGTCTTAGGCGCTCCAGCCGTCGAGCGAGACGATGGTGGCGTCGGCATCCAACTCGCTCGCCGCGCACAGCATCGCTGCCAAGGAGAGCGAACTGGAAGGGCCTCGTGGCGCGGTCGAACGTGTCCGCATACTGTCGTGCCACGCTCGCGACACCAGTCGGCGCAGCGTGTCTCTGGTCGCGATCCCGCGAACGCCGCCGCCAGGCTTAGCGAGGGCTTGCAGCACGGCGGCGGGCGCATTGGCATTCGCGAATAGAGTGGCCGCGTGCGCTAGCAGGTCGAGCTCCTCTTCGTCCTCCAGCATCAAGCGATAGTGTTCCCTTCCACCGCTGCCCCGGACAAGCCCGCAGCGCTGCCACGCTTCGCCGTGCTCAAAGCTTCACCCAACTCAGCTGCAGTGAGGCGGACAGGGTCTGCTGCACGGAAGCGGGCTATGTCGTCCGGCATCGGACGGCGGCGGGGCGGTCGCTTGTCGGGGTCCGAGAGGCGGTGTCTCCCAGCAAGGCGGTGCGGCCAGCCGCTCCCGTCTCGTGCGGTCGCGTCAACAAAAGGCGTGGCACCAGCGGGAACAGCTTCCAGGCACGCTCCGCAGGAATGAAGGCCGCTGCGTTCGGCGCGCGCAGGCACGCCGGCACTAGAAAGCGCGGGACATCGCACATCGTAAGGACCGGAGTGGCAAGGACGTCCCGCAACTCCATTGTGACCAGCCATTCCCAGGACGCTCGGGCAACTCTCGCACTCGCGCGCCCGGTGTCGAGGCGGTCGTGGCTGAGTGGGAGGCCCTCGACGACAATGGCGGAATCGCTGGACGTGTCATGCGGCGCCACAGGCGATGGACCGTGGCGGCTTGGCCGTTGCCTGCCTCGCCCTCCTGCTCGCGCGCGTCGCACTGCACAGGCGCTTGCGACGGGCGAGTCGGCGGGGCTCGGGCATTCTGGGGCGCCGGTCTGCTCGCCATCACTCGTGCGGCCCGCACTTCCGTCAGCACACGTAGGCCCTGCTCTGCGTCGGCGACGGCGAGCACGAGGCCCGTGCCGTCGACGGTGGGACATCGCCGCTCGGAGGCGTCGGCTAGGGCCCGAGCGGCCGCAGCCAAGGGCGCGCCGCCATAGGCCTCCGGAAAAGCGGACTGGGCAGCCGCAGACACGTACCCGTCTGGGGCCTGCGCGAGGAGAAGGGCCGTTGCAACAGGGATGGGGGCAGCAGGGAGCGCGCGCAATGATATGGCAAGCGCAGCGTCTGTCGCGGGAATGCCCGGAGGCGCTGCACCCATCTCCTCCGCATCACTTTCCGCAGCGACAGCTCGGCTCCGCCGGCGGCGCTGCCTGCAGCGCGCCAGCCAGTGCATTCGAACCGCCCTGCCGCGTCCGGTAAAGAGCGCCAAGCTGCCAAGGCCGGCACGCTCAAGTTTCCAGCCGCCGCGTTCAACAGCGGCACAACCAGCCAGGAATTGCGATCTCCCGGCAGGGCGCTGGGCCCATCGGGGCGGCGCGTGCTGTGCTGTCGGTGAGGGCGGCGGCGTGAAACCGGGCGTTGCCAAAACCGAAAGATTGCACACGCGGTCGCCACACATTTGGTGCAGACACCCATAATACCTCCAGATCTTCAGGCATGGCGGTCGCGACGAACGGACGTTTTGATTTGAGAATACAGCTGTCTCTACAGCGTGAAATTATGGATCGCCGCCGCTTGGACTTGGTGGTGTACGGGGCCATGCCGGGCGGTGAGGCACTCTGTTGTGACGCGACGCTAGTCTCGCCCCTGGCGCCAGCGGGTCGCCCATTCCCGGGTGCCGACGCGCGTGATGGGACCGAGTTGGCGGCCGCGCGCCGCCGCAAGCACGCGCGATACCCCGAGCTCCTGCAGGGAGGTCCGCAACGGCTCGTCGGGGTCGCGGCGGAGGTGGGCGGAAGATGGGGCTGCGCCTCCGCCCCATTTCAACCCTACGTGCCACAGCGGCCCAGGGTGGGCACGGCGATGGTGGAGCCTACCTTCGGTCGCCATGCAAAGGGCAGTTGCCAGCACAGCGCTCGGTGTTTGGACGATGCCGGCGCTGCCGAACTCGCAGGACGGGGTCCCCCTCGCAGATGTCCTTGGGCACGCCGACTTCGCGGGGCCCAGCCGCCTGTCGCTTCGGTGAGCCGTTTGTACTTATGTGGAGTATGGGGACCTGGATGACGACCGCTGCGAAAGGGAAAAAAGGCTACTGCAAATTTATTTGCCACGTGATCGATGGGCCCCGACGAGTTCAGGCTGGGAGGCAACCTAGCAATTGGGAAGATGCACTCATGATGTATTGTCGTTGGCGTTAATTGGGAAATTGGAAGTCCGCAGTTGTTGATTCATGGTGGTTGCGACAAGTGGATGATTAAGTTTTTCAGCGCGTCTGCTTCTCCAACCCCCGGCACTTGTTGCATGGGTCGACGCTGGCACATGCGGCAGTGCTGTGCACGCCGCCTGCCGCGCCACGGCAGCTGTGGTCTGGCGCCAGCGCCTGTGGTTGCAGAGGCAGTTTGCACATGAGTCTTTCAAAAAGGGCTCAATAGCCAAGAATGATCTACCGGCGCTCACGGCCCAGTCCCAAGATGGCCCTGGCCAGCTACTCGGCCTTGCCCTTGCCGGCGCCCTTGCCTTTGGTTTTGCCCTCTGAATGACCGTGGCCTTTGCCTCCCGCATCACGAAGTCCTCTGGCGTCCACCTCCGCCACGGCTGCCTCGTCTGCGCGGTGGCTGCGGCGCGTTGCGGCGATGGTTAGCTCGTGGAGCTGCAGGGAGCCTGACCGCCGCCCTTTCCCTGCCTGGCGACTCACGGGCCAAGCAATGCGCACTGGTCGGCGCTTGGGTTGGCGACACGGCGGCCCGTTGCTACAGGGGTCGCAGGCGACGGCCACGCGCGGGTCACAACCTGCTCGATCACCTTGCTTGTCAAAGCTCCTAGGAGCAGGCCGCAGGCTGAGGGGAGCGAGCGCTGGCGTGAAGTAAGCCGGCGCTCCACCCCCGCAAGGCAAGAGAGCGTGCACCACACTCTGGCGGCAACTCGGTGGGAGCGACGAGGCGGCAAGCCCGGCCTGCCCAGAGCAACCATCCTTCCATGGCATCGGCGTTACCGACTACAACGAACGTTTGTACAAGCCAAGAGCCAGGAAGGTTTTTTTTTTTTTTTACCTTTACCTCCTAGGCCTTTATACCAACATCTACAGAAGGTCCCGCCATGGACCATACTGCCACCAGTCAACGCGGTGCCGAGGGGTAGAGCGAGCTCTGCGTAATCGGCACGGATGTCACTGTCACGGTAATTGAGGAGTAGAAGAGCGACGGCTGCAATCCGCTGCATGCTTGCTAGCTGCTGGGCTGACATGTTGCTGTTTGCACCTTCGATCTCGTGGGAGCATGCGCGCGCCTCACCCGTTCTTTGCCCGCCCCAACCGGTCAGGCAAGGCGACAATGGGGACCCACATCGCAACCACGTCGCGGCCTTTGGGCGGGTGTCAGGCTTGGCGACGCTGAGCAGCCTGGGCCCTCCACGGTGGCCGACGAACTGCTCCAACAACGGGCCCGCACAACTGATGCATTGGCACGCGCGTGGACCAGCCTCCCCCCCTTCCCGCCACTCCCTCCGCCGGCTTGAGCAGCTGCGACAAGCGCTCCCATCGCTGGACGTGCCGACCGCGGACCTCCGTCGTCCCCCCACGAGCTCGACGAAGCGGACACGCTGTCGGACACGCTTAGTGCCACCACGCCCGTTGCAACGCCGCGCCACGCAGCGCAAAAGCTCTGCGGCGGCCCCCGCGCGAGCACGCTGCGCAGCGTCCACCTTCATGACAGGAAACATTTTTTTCATGCTGAAATGAAAAAATGGCTTCCTTCGTAGAACCCCCCCCCCTTTCCTGATGAATAGAATGTACTTAAATGATTGTTCTTTATCTCTATATATTGAATGATGCAGCATGTGACTCGAATTGTGAAATGTGTGAGGCTGTAGATGATGCCGCCGGGCGCTGCCAGCAATAGGTCCCCCAGCAATGTTTCCAGCAACCCTGCCGGCGGCAGCCCCGCTGCCTCCGCTGCCGTAGCCAGCTCGTTTGCGCCTCCCACTCTCCCCCGAAGCGTCGCGGCTGCGGAGCAAGCGCCGCGCCAGGGTTTATCACGCGTTGGGACAGATACGGCTCGCATCCGACGGGCCAGCTCACGGTGGTTCGCGCCCGGCCGTTCTGGAAACTCCCGCGTGCGAGCATTACATTACACCTCACGCATCGCCTGCCGGCCCGAGACAGCATCTCCGCCCGGGTAAGTTCTCACCATGCCCATGTGTCACCGTACACGAGGCCTTGACTGACTGACTGACTCCTTTGTTGCCGCACTCGTGTGGGATGCGGGATGTGTTGCCCAAAGACTTGCAGGAGACCTTGCGCGACGGATTTGGTTTCGCTCTGTTACAAGCGCCTGCCCATGGTATGTAGCCATTCTGTCCATATTTTGAGGATGATCAATTCACAGGCCATGCACAGGGCGAGCAATGCGAGCAAATTCCTTGATCAGCACAGGCCAAAGCGACACCGAGCTAGATCCAGAGGCCACAGGTCTCCTTGAAGCCCCAAATGAAGAGCGATGAAGAGCGCATTTTATATGGTTGCACGGATGATGAGCGGTGGTCCAGTTTCCAGGTCGGGGCGGGACAACGCATCGAACCCGACTACTCGGTTCAGGAGTGGAAGGTTCGCCAAGGCAGCCCGGCAGCGCAACCGGGTGTCGGAATCGGGTTCGTCGGCTAGGCAAATCATGTTCAAAGCCACCTGCGTTATTCTCCATGCTGAAGGTGCTGGAACTGGGAGCACGTCGTTCCGTGCACCTCAGCGATGCGCCGTTTGCAGACACAAGCGAGACGAGGGTTTGTACCAACCGCAACTTGGACCCCTCCCCACAAAGGTAAGCAGTTTGCTATGACCTCTATGCAGCGGTCGTGTTGCCGGGAAAAAGCGACAGCGAGGTCTCACACCAAAACGCTGGTCGCAACCGTCGTCGCACCAACCTCACGGCAAATGCGAGCCTGATCGACACCTGGCGCCCACGCGGCAGCCAGCGAACGCGAGACGAACCGACGAAACATGTTGCCTGTCACCATGCCGCGCACGCCACCTCCTTGCTCGTGCGGGTCAAAGCGACGCCCTCCGCAACGTGACGCGGGACCTCAGCCTATGCCAGCAGCCTCCGCAAGCAGTTCCATATTATCTGCATGGCCTAGCCACAGTTTGGCCCCCGCTTGGCGGCGCGAAGGCTGCGAGCGACCGCGGTGGGGTCGCTCGGCAACTGCTTCGGTCGCTGGCCGGGGCGAGGCTAGCGTAAGGAGCTCGGGCCAGCGGCGTCTCTCACCTCCGTGTTCGACCTGCCGCGCGAGGAGCACGCATGTGTAACCCATCCCAGTGCTGAGTTCCGTGTGATTTTGCTGCTGCGTCTGCGATTCCCGCTGCCCTTGCAACCGCATGCCTGCTCCTGCCGTGGACAGCGCGACCCCTGGGGACCACCATGGGGCGTGCGCAACGTCCGGAGCGCTTGCATCTCGGACGCTGCCCCTCGAGCGGGCCATTGACCGTGTCGCCAAAAACGCGACGCGCGCAACGCTTACATATCGCATGCCCGTCCACGACGGACGCCGCATCAAGTCACGGGACCGCGATTTTCGCCGCCATCCTCGGTGCGGCCGCTCTGAAGGGGGGTGACTGTTCACACCACCCTTGCCCTCCCCTCTGTCGACTGAGAGCCGGCGCGAAGCCGAGGAAGAGCCGTATCTTATGAAGTGAGTTGAGGATCGCCCTCTGCGCGGGCTTGCAAAGAATGGATTAGCACCTCCGCCCCTGCCCGGGTTGTCAATGCGTATTGGTGGCGTAGCGGCTGGGAAAACTGTTTTGGCAAGTGCGTGAGGAACCAGTCGTCACAAGACATCCCCGATGACGGACGGGTCGGTGAGGTGCTGGAAAGCAGCGTCGGTGGCTGCCGCCAAGGGCTCGGGCGGTAAGCGCCTGTCGCACAGCCGAAGGTTCCCCGAGACGTTCGAGTTGCACCGAACGCTCAGCACTTTGTTGGACCGGAATCGGAGCATCCTGGGGTAGCACAGTGTGCAAAGCCGGCATGGTGGGGGGCCGATGACCAGAGCGAGCGGTGAAGCGCCTGTCGAAGCTGTCCCTTGCAAAAGGGGGGTGGGGAGCGGATGATCTTGCATGGGAGCTCCAGGACCACCTCAGCTGGGAAAGAGTGGAGACTGGCCAGGGCCTGGAGCCGGGCACCGTGCAAGGCATGAGAAGGAAGCAGGGGCTGCTGCCAGCTTGCTGTTCGAGTTCGGCGGCAGCAGTGGCTGAGAGCTTCCGCAATCGGAACGCGCGTTCTTCCAAAGATTTGCAAAGCCAAACAAAGCCAAGCAGAAACGATGAGCATGATTGTTGAACAAGCCGCGATAGTTCTTGCATTGCAGTTCAACACAAAACGTGGGCAGCACTGTGACGACACGGAAATCCTGACCCGGGATTTGCGGAAGGCTAGGGCATCGAGACGACCTGACACCCCACGCAAGACCGAAACTCGCTCGGCAAAGCACACAAAGTGTGACACCCCTGACTTACCGCTTCGAGCGTGCACCCTGCACACAATGATCCCCAGCCTCCGGACTCCGGCTAACATTAAAAGGTCGATCGGTGGATTCCGGTTCAAGATTCGCTAGAATGTCTTCGCAAAGCATGTGCGGCCCGATACTTTATCACGACCAGACGTGCAGGAATGGCACAATCGCCCCAGGCTACCAACATGGCACGCGTGCGGAATGTCAAGCATCACAACATAGACCAGCATGTGAAATAAGCTGCAAAGCCAAGGTCATCAATGAAAGTGCGACAGTCGATGTCCAATTTCGCAAAAACCGTCTCCAACCCTCTCCGTAGCCCTTCCCCTTGAAATCCTCCGAGCGCCAGGGCGGCCCCTTGTTTTCCTCGCACAGGCGCGCCGGCGAGCCGAGCAGCCCACGATCCGGCCTCCGATGGCCTCCGGGATGGCCGAGTGTGGGGCTTTTTACGGAATTGAATCGGGTGTGAAGTTACGGAGTGAAGCCCCCACTCCTTGGGAGGGATGTCGTCGTCGGCGCCACTTCGGGACCTCCTTGCTGGACGCCTCGTCATGTTGTCCTGCAAAAAGGCTGCACATCGCAGTACCACGTTGCCAGGGCTCGACAAGACGACATGAGGGTTTGGGGTTTAGGGTTTCGTGTTTAGGGTTTAGGGTTTCGGGTTTAGGGCTATGGTTTAGGGTTTAAAGGGTGTGTGGAGCCTCGTCCATGTCCAACCGCATCCTTTACGCGGCCTAGTCCACGATGCCAAAGCTGACTGGGATCCTCAACCTGCACGATGCATCTTCCATGCAATGGCATGACATGTCTTACCCCATGACCCACCGGGAGGCAACGCATCTCGAATAAACCTGGCTACACATAGCCTCACCGTTTGGTCATGGGGATGTGTGCTATGAATCAGATGTTGTTCTGCAATGTCTCGTTTGTTCATGGCATGGGGTTGTGTGCTGTTCATCATACATCTTGTGATGCGCTGATGCTCATCGCTATTCTTTGATCCATCGCAATGCCGGATGTGCCATCGGGTACCACCACCCCGCAACAAAAACTATGTCCATATAGCCGCTTGTCGGGACGCGACGGACACTCTGGCTTCTACATTTCTGGGCTTCCTGAAAAAGTTGGTCTCTCGCGTTTCTCCTAGTAATCACATGGATTGGCGAGACATACCTGCTGGGCTGCGCCGGAAACACCCACCAAGAACACACAAAAACAAAGAAGCAGTGCGATGGCAACCCTACAAACGCAGGCGCCTGCGCCCAGCCAAGTGAGCAGAGGCCCGGTAGGGTACGCCGTCACTGCCATCTTCCACGAGCTCCTCGTGGCGATGGCACAAATCCATGTGTACAGAATATGTGTTGTCTATTTACCCCATTATACCATATGCCATATACCACACACCATACACCATACACCATGTGTACATGTATACAAGACATAACATGACATGCATGATCTGTGTATGATATGATATGTGCATATGCAGAACATGACACTTGCCGAGTGTCGAAGTGATCAGGTAGTCCAGCAGCTGGCGCTGGCTTTGCGGGCGCTGGCTTTGCGGGCGCTGGCTTAGCTGGCGCCTTTACCGGCAGAGGCTGCTGCACCGCCTTGCGGGCAAGCTGACTGTGCCTCGTGCATGCCCCACCGAAGGCTCTTTGGACGCGCCTCTGTTGCCGCAAAGGCCGCAGCGGGATGCTGGCCTTCAGCAGAAGGAGACCCATTCATGGCCCATTTCTGGCATGGCCTGCTTGCTTCCCCGGCTCCATGCCTGTCAGCGCTTTCGCCACAGCTGTGCGGATCGCAGCATCCTGAACCGTCCAAAGGTTCCGCAAGCCGTACAGCAAGCTCTGACAACGGCTTGACTGGGCTTGACTCTGCCGCCCCGACAGTGTCATACGACGGTCATGGCACGACATTCAGGTACACACCTCCGATCAAAAGGTCGAAGCTTGTGGTGCGGGATGCGGCCTTTTTGGTGATTATCGGAAAATTTGGGACAACGACATGTACCAAAGCTTCCAAACATTACACGAGGCGTTCAAAATTCCAGGTGACAATTTTGCAACCAGGCATCTTGAAGCGTGTCCCGCTCCCGTTCAACCTCCTGCCAAGCAGAGTGAAACCATCAGCCACTAACCGCGCTCCCTCCAACATCCTCCAACGCACCCCAATCACTCTAAAGCAGCATCTTTATTCCTCTTCACGGCGCCAACGGAAGCGACGAGCCAGAATGGACAGCTTCGCAGGCGCAAACGTCGCCTTCCCAATGTTCACTTATGTCGATTTTGAGGTTGGGTCCAGTCAAGCTCAGGCAGCAAGAGGCCTCCAGGGGAAGCTCCCGCAGAGCAGCCCTGGCATGCTTTAAACATGTCTGCTTTTTCGGGAAGCTGCATCTTCTCGTGGGCCTTTCGTCTTCGGTCTCCGCAGCTTTCAACAGACAGCTGCGCCGGTCGCGCCGGGCGATACACCTGCATCGACAGCGCCCGGCTCCCACTGCCAGAAGAGTAGGAACGTATATACATATGTCTGCATGTCTGTGCGTCTACACGTTTCGATATGGCATACACACACATGCATGTGTGTATATATATATATGTGTCTATGTATATATATATATATGTATATTATGTGTATATATATATATATATATATAAATACACGTACATGTATATATTAGTATGGACCTCACAGCAAGGGATCGCAGCCTCAGCTTCTGCGGGTTGAAGAGGCGCTGGAAAGACTCCTCGTTCCGCAAGCTCTCGCGGCCGCAGATGAACCAAACGCTGACCGCTAGCCGATCCTGCGGAACAGAAGATTAAAGTTTTAGGATTTTTGGTGCTTTAGGGCTTTAGGGCTTTAGGGGTTTAGGGGTTTTGGGGTTTTCGGGTTGTAGGGCTTTAAGTTTTTGGGTTCTGGGCTTGTAAACAACAACGGAGAGCCGGCGCCTGGAAGCTGGAAAGCACCTCATGGGGCACCTCTTGCGTAGACCAGAAGACCACCTGATCTGGGGGCTTACAATGACAAGGGACCCTACATACACCACCGAATCGTAGGATCCTCGGATAATGAGGACTCCAATAAGGTACTCCTAAACATCGTAAACCCCCATCTTGCTCCAGGCTTGGCGCTGTGCGACAAGAAACACATCAGTCAAGGGGCTGAGGGGTACAGCTTCCTATGCTGTGGGCACGCTTTCCCATCGTTTCTTTGGTCTTCAACTGGGAGTAGGCACTTAGCATCTTAGTGCTTCAGCGGTAGCCAACATGGCAGCCCTGGACATTTCGGGGCCTGTCCATGAAACGAAACCGCCGAATGCCCTTCCACCTTCATGCACCCTTGCCAATTGCAGTTACATGCTGCCGGAGCTGCCAAACGGTTCCAAAGTGGCTCGACGTCGCGCTTTACCTACACATCTGAAGTCAAAGATCCTTACATCAGACTCACCAAATACGACCGGACATGGTGAAAGCCAGCGGATAGTTCGGAACCCCTCCATGAAGCCCCAATACCCCAGCACTGCAGCCATTCACACTCACACCTGGCAGCTCTGCATCGTCGGCTCAAACAGACGAAGACAGCCACCATGCCCTGACGTCCTGCGAAGTCATTAAGAAACGCTTCGGGAGTGGTAGTCAGGAGCAAAAAGCAGTTACATTGTTTGGGCAGCAAGTCTCCAGCTTCTGTTGAGGTAGAGCACAGCGGTCAGTCGCCTTCCTGCACACAGCTGCAGAAAACTCGTGGCAACAAGCAAAGGCAGATAGCCGAGGCTCCCACCATCCGTGCCGAGCGTGTTGTCTACATGCTTGATGTAGCGAGAAGATTCACCCGGATAGATGGCAAACCTGGGCCACATCGACGATCAGGCTCACATCCCACAGTATCAGCAACGGCTAGAGAGGGGACTATGAAGAGCCGAATCTGCTTTTGACAGCCGCAGTACATTGCCCCATTGGCCCAGTCTACACACCGTAGCCGATCTGCCACCGCTGTGCATGCTTGTAGTCCTTGACACGAGTCGCGATGCTCACGTGAGACAAATCCGCAGGAGGCAAGTCACATCCCGTCCTTCCACCAGAGCATCCAAAGCCTCCAGGAATCCTCCCGGCTGTGGGTTGGGGCAACTACAAGTGCCTCCTGTGGCGAGGGCTGGCAAGGGCGATCACGGTTGCTACGTTCCGAGAACGATCATACTTGGTTCATCGGGGTCTCTCCCCCCAAGGGCACCGCCCCCAAAGCTCCCTTTCAAGGAGCACCGTCGAAGAATTTCAGACCCAAAGGCACTCATGAACACAATATTATAGCTGCAAAGGTTTGGCGCAAAGGAACGCGCGCGGACGCGCGGACACGCGGACGCGCGGACACGCGGACGCGCGGACGCGCGGACATGCGGACGCGGACATGCGGACGCGCGACGCGCAGTCGCGCGGACGAGCGGACGCGCGGACAGGCGGACGCGCGGACACGCCGACGCGCGGACACGCGGGACGAGGGACACAGAGACGCGCGGACACACGCGGACGCGCGGACGCGCGGACCGCGGACGCGCGGAACGGACGCGCGGATGCGCGGACACGGGACGCGCGAAGCGCGGACGCGCGGACGCGGACGCGCGGACACGCGGGTGCGCGGACATGCGGACGCGCGGACGCGCAGTCGCACGGACGCGCGGACGCGCGGACACGCGGACGCGCGGACACTCAGATGCGCGGACGCGCGGACACGTGGACTCGAACATGCGGACGCGCGGCCGCGATGAACCACTGACGCGCACACGGACGTGCGAAACTAAAAGCGTTCAGACGCGCGAACGTATAGGCGGATGTATGCATTCGCTGGAAAACATATACCTCATCTAAGACTTTCGGTTTCGGAATGTGACTTCTTCTTGCGCGGGACTTGCAGATGAAATGCGTTCCTGACATATCTTTCGGAAAAGCTCCCACAGGGTGGAGCGATTTTGTTTCGTAGCTATTTGCAGCTCCTGGCTTACAGATATCTTGAAGTGAGGTTTAGGGGCCTAGAAAACTGAGGGCAGTTTCGAGATCTGGGGAAGGGGCCCAACCCTTTTCTTGTGGTTGGGTTTAGCAACCCCCTCTCACGGTCCAGCTGGGGGGGTTTAGGGGTTTGGGGTTTCAGCAAACCCAACCCCCTCTTGTCGGGGTTCAGATGGGGGGTTTGGGTTCTTTGGGGCTGTATTTCAAACAAACTGCAGGCAGGGTTGGTTTTCGGGGTTTGGGGCTGCAGTTCAAGCGTTCCCCCTTCGGGTCGAGATGGGGTGTTGGGGTTGGGTTTAGGGGGTCCTCATGGGGGTGGTTGAAACCCAACCGTACTTCTGGGTTCTGGGGGTCTGGATTAGGGGGGGGGGGGTTGGGTTCAGAGGTTTGGGGCAAACCCAACCCCCCCCTTCTCGGGGTCCAGATGGGGGGTTTGGGTTTGGGTTTGGGTTCAAGCAAACCTTGAGATAGGGGGGCTTGGGCTGTATGTCAAGCAAACAAACCCCCCCCCGCCTTCTCGCAGTCCAGAGGAGGGGGTTTTGGGATTGCGGGTTTGGGGCTGAATCCCCATGGGTTGGCCCAACCCCGTTCTCGGGGTGCAGAATGGGGTTGGGTTTGGGGGTTTGGGTCTGTTACAAGCAAACCCAACCCCCCCTTGTCGGGGTCGAGATTGGGGGTTGGGTTTAAAGGTTTGGAGGTTGTTTCACTGAAACATTGTTTCGGATTCAGGGTGCTCTGCAATTCGGGGGCAGAATCTCTAGTCTCGTGTTGGGGCTTCGGGGTTTCCACTGGTCCTTTCGAAGTAGTGTCGGACTTGCACTGCGCTCTGTGTGGGTGAGCATGGACTTCTTTGGTGCCCTCACTGCGCGGATATTGCCACGAACCCGAGACAGCATGGACCCGCGCAAGCGCGCTGACACGGCCCAGAGACACTCGGACGCGTGGACGGACACGCGGACGCGTGGACGGACACGCGGACACGTGGACTCGCGGACACACATGGACGCGCGCACGTGCGGATGTGCGGATGCGCGGAAACGGGGACGCGCGGACGCGCGGACCCGCGGACGCGCGGACCCGCGGACGCGCGGACGCGCGGACGCGCGGACGCGAGGCGCGGAGGCGCGGAGGCGCGGAGGCGCGAGGCGCGGAGGCGCGGAGGCGCAGAGGCGCGGAGGCGCGGAGGCGTGGAGGCGCGGAGGCGCGGAGGTTGCGCGGACCCGCGGACACGCGGACGCGCGGACGCGGCTACCTGACGTTCATAAGTCCCCAAAGGACCCAAAGTAGCAGGGATTTTGGGATGCCCGAGCCTGGGCAGCCAGGCATGTTGCCATCGTCTGAGAACTTTACCACATCACCGCCTCGGACCGGGCCAAGGAACCCATATAGCCCACCATTTGTGGGACGTGTGTCTCCCTGCTCCAGGGTTTAGGGTTTAGTGCGTGAGTAGAATGCGGCATCAGGGTTTCAGAGATTTTGGTAACTTAGCTTCGGGGATTCTAGTAAGGCTGTGGGACCCAACTTCGACCCTCTTCCTGAACTCTGCACTCAAGCCGAGCAACGGCTTGGCTCGTTGAGAACCTACGCAGGGCAGAAGAAGGGAGATGCAGGTGAAGCTCAACTGCAGCCTTTTCGTCCTGGCCGCTATGTTCTGCTGGATTCCATATAGTTCAGGGTACCGGGCACTTCGCAACGACCCCCACAGCATGGTTCCAGCAAGATACTCGCAAGAGACTCGCAAGAAGCCACAGACGCCTTCTGGAGCTCCTCCGGGCCCTTCGCCAGGGCTCGGCCAGCTGCCCCAGTGGCTCCCCGCACCTGGGCACAGGGAAGGCCAATAAGGGAAAGTAACCTATCACAAGGCCACACACACACACTTGTTTCTCAATTGCACATCCATCCTGAGCCTTCATGGGTCCCTAGGTCACTAGGCCTCCAGCCATTCCCCCAGACTACGTCTAACCGTTTAACCAGGGCTTGGAACCCTAAAAGCCCAAAAAAAAACCCAAAAAAACCCACTGCCTAACTCAGCACAAGGAAAGTGGAACTCATTCCCACTGCTCAGCAAGTCACCATCTCGCCCCGCGACGCCTGGGCACCCGAGGCAAGGGCCTCAGCGTTTGTCGGTGCATTGACTATTTTCTGTTTTGATGCTTGCTTTGTTTTTGTTGGGGGGGGGGGGGGGGAAGGGGCGGAGTGCCGTAAGCCCACCTTTTCAACTCAAGTGTTGAGCATTCATCTGCCGGTGGTTTTTGCGGTTGGGAGGCCCTCACAACACGCTTCTCGGCCGGTGATCAGAACAACTGCGGAACAAAACCCGAGAATTCGAAGGGACTCAGGCCAAGGCCTGGCAAACTTCCTCGGGAAGAAACTCGTCCAGCACTGCAAAGTGCTCCTGCAACATTAAGGATTCTTGGGTCCGAAAGTACGGGACCCCTAATATGGACCCCAAATAGTAAGATTCCCTTATAATAAGGACCCCAAAAGGCTTTCTGTCAATGACTTGCGAAGACTTTGAAGACATGTGAAGATAGGCGAAGGGGTGGGCCCGTGCCCTTCACCTGCACACCTAGATTAGCACCCCCGCAGTCCCAATGCATCATAAGATGTTCCGATACTCTCACGGCTGAACACCTTCCTGACCCCTGGCCCTGATTCGCCCTGCTGTAAGCCACTGCAAGCCCCCTGAGCCAACAAGGCCCAAGTCCGCCCAAGCCTTCTGCAAGGCTGCGGCCGCCAAGCGAAAGGCCTCTGCTTGCCGCCACCATCGCCCTGGCCCGGCCTGACATTCACTGAAGCCGACGTGCGCAAAAGCACTGGCAGAGACTGGCAGATACTGGGTCTTGCGAAGAAAAACTTGAGCCTTGGAAGCCTGCTTCAGCTGCAACAAAGGCAGGACCGCAATGTTGTCCACCTTCGTGAGTTCGGGCTACTTGGGCGCGCAAATGCAAGTGGTGCTGGGTGCTGCAACTAAGCCCACTGCACGCTGACGGATCTGTGGAGTGGGGAGCCGCACAAAGGCCAGGTACCTAAGAGTAGCACTGAGGCAATTCTCACAGCGCACTTCGCGTGAAGCTCGCACTACACACTCAAAGCACACCAAGTGGCTCCATCTCATAGATGAGGCGCATGGGGTCGTCCTGAAAATCGCAGATCACGCGGAATCATCCAGATGTGAAACTTGACCAGATACATTTCAAAACGGACGACAGCGACAGTAGCTCACAACAAGGGCACTCCACTAATAACATACAGAGGCTCTCGAAATTCTTTCCACGCGCGCCTGACATTGGCCAAGCACCAGCCCACTGGGTAGCAGAGCCCAAACCTCTGCTCGCGCAGACTCGCTCGTTCAGGATATCTTCAGATATGTGACGGCTGTTCACATACTCTGCTTTTACCAGCACTCTTTCTTGGCTTCCTTTCAGGCTTTCTTTTGCTGCTCTGGGTTGGCAGTTCTGTTCTTCCAGCACTGGCTGGGCCTGGACCTGAAGACAGCTACTGGATCAGTGCTCTCGGTTTTGCTGCCTCTGCCTTCACCCAATTCTAGGTCCGAATCTGCGTTCCCTTTCGGTGCCCGGGTCCGGAAGTCATAATATGTACTGCCGATATGTAATCATATGTACCAACATGTACTGATATGTACTCAAATGTACTGATACGCAGCAATATGTAACACGTACATATGTGCCCATATGACGCACGCCTTGCAATCTTGCAGCCTTCAAGTCTGAGCCTATCACCTTTCGGGCAAGCGTGCTCGGACGCTTGGACGGCGTCAGACCTCTCGGTGCAGACATGTGCCAGCAGACTCAGACAAGGAGTACGGAGTGCTCTTAGTACTCGAATGAAGAATCGGGAGCACAAAAAGGAATCCAAGATCCAGGCCCTGCAATACCTCGACACCCTGCGGCCAGGCATGAAGCTGCACAGTTGGTGACTGACCACCGGTCCTCGCCGAGAGAAAGGATGGGAAAGAGGGGGACAGGGGAACAAGTGTGTGAAAGAGACCGCGGCAGCGCAACACATGATGAGGTCTGGAAAGCGCATGTCAGGAATGACACCATGCAAGTTGGTGAGCTTCCGAACGATCCGAACGTGTCCGCAGGGTCTCTTCCCGGTAGGAGACCAGATGTATGGCCCGCATGCAGACCGTGCAGGTCGCATCATAGATGACTTGGATCATCTCGCACGAGTGGCACTTGCCATGGCATGTCTTGGGTCTGCGAAATGAGAGAATACTTACTATTATTATTAGTATTATTATTATGATTATTATTATTTTATTATTATTATTATTATTGTTATTATTTTTATTAATATTATGACCATTCTAATTCTTCTTATTGGGCTGGCACCTGCAGTTGCGAAGTTGCTAAGCCATCATCAGTGCAGCATCTTTAGCGCGACTGCCGCAGAATGCTTCCAGGGACCACACTGACTGCACTAGTGCCCGATGTTGGCCTTGAAAAATCCTTCGCACCTCGTTGCTTTCCTAGTGAATCGAGCCAAGTCTGCACCACAGCACAGCAGCACAGCAGCACCAGGGACTTGATGACGGAAAAGCCCCCCGAAACACAAATGGAGGCTCAGCTTCATCCGGGTACGATGCAACGCCTGGACCCCCCAAAAAAACACCCAAGCTTTTTCAACAATCATAAGGGCATCAGCGGAAACTTTTTCCAAACGGGCCCGCGGCAAAACTCTCCGGCACCCAGCACCGATTTCATGGGTTCCTGGGAGCCGGTTGAGAACAAAACGTTGAAAGAGCGCCGCGCCGGTGTGGTGTCTAAGGCGCTTAGGGTTGTGGGATACTTTTTAAGGGTTCAGGGTTTAGGGTTTAGGGTTTAGGGCTTAGGGTTAAGGGTTTAGGGTTTAGGGTTTAGGGTTAGCTCCTACAGTCTGTTGTTTTGAGTTTTTTTGCAAGCGCCAGCAAGCGGGTGTTGCAGCACTCTTCTTGAAACGCATGACGAGCACATCAGAACTTTCCGGGTTGCCCAGCATGTTCGTGGGGCTCTTTAACCCCGACACAAAGAAATTTCAGAAACTCTTTTTGAATGTTGGAGACCTGCATCAGCCGAGCACATCTTGTCCCGCTGACGTAGGATGCTGAGCGATCTAGGACCATGCTTCCACGGTGTATCGGCCCTCCATCTTCAAGTTGGTGAGGGTGGCTTCGGCCTCCTCCTCGCCCACATTCTCGCTGGTCATCATGACCTGCTTCATGGCGGTGTAGATGTCCTGAGTCGGGCAACAAGCTAAGACGTCAGGGCGCTGATTCGGCTGATTCGCGCGACCGCAAATGCAAGCAAACTGGTGGTCAAGGCCCGGATCCCGCATGCCGAGGCGCTTCCGGCACCTGGCGGGCGCTGCCGCAGACGTAGAAGTGCCCGTTCTGCCGCAGCATGTACTCGGCCACCTTCTCGCCGGCCTCCATGATCCGGTGCTGCACCTTGCTGAGATATGGAGGAAGGTTGTGACTGAGCCGTATAGGTAAGGCCAAAATCCTACCGCCCCATGCTCTAACCAAATCAGGTGTACTGGTATACCGGCAGATATGACGCCTCACAGCAGGCACCAAGGCACGTAGATCTTTCTAGCCTGCTCTCGGGAGAAGGCGGTGTGCATGGACAGCACACCCTCCTTGACGTAGCTCTCGAACTCCTCCCTGTAAAGATACTCGACGGCGTACCGCGCGCCGAAGAACAACATGCAGGGGCCGACCTTCTGGCCCTGTCGATGCTGACAGACGCGCTCCTGCGTCACCGCCCGCCAAGGCGCAAGGCCCGTGCCCATGCCGGCCATGAGCACCGGACTGGTTGGGTCCTTTGGCAGGACGATCGCGCTCTGCCGCACAGCGCACATGATTGTGGCTCCAGGCTTCTGGCCGCGCATGTAGCCAGTGCATTCGCCGATTCGGAGCTCCTTCGTGCTCTCGACCTGCCAGTCTACTAGCACCACACACAGCTGGATCTTGTCTGGGTGCATCAGCGGGGAGCTGGCGATGGAGTAGCTGCGCGGCTTCAAGACAGGGATCATGTTCAGCAGCTGCTCAATTGGAGGCCTTGCACTCTTGAACTTCCTCAGCACGTCAGCATGGTGAGCGAAGTCGTGAGTGAGGTCGCGGTACAGGGCTTGCCCCTCTTCGCTGTTCTCAACGACGCTGCGCAGCTGGCTACGCTCCTTGTCGTCTGATGCGAAGAGCGACAGGGTCTCGAAGAATTTCCTGTTCGGCTTGCCGAAGATGTCCAGGACGTGAGAGAAGAGCTGGCGGACGTTGAGGTCCATTGGGCACCAGTTCCTTGCACCGTCCAGCGGCAGCACGCGCAGCTGCTGACCGGCATCCAGGCCCATGTCGGAGCAGAACTCCAGGACCTTGTCCACGGGATTTCGTGGCCAAATGGCTAAGCTCTCGCCTGTCTTGTACGAGACGGAAGTGCCCTCAATCTTGAACTCATAGTGGCGAATGTCGCGGTCATACTTCGCGTCGCCCGTCAGCACGGAGTTGTGAAGCAGCGTGAGCTTGGCCGCGCCGGGCGGGACAATGTCGTCATCGCTGATGGGCGGCTTCTCCACGCTTCCGGGGCTGACGTCCACTCGGTAGCAGGGAGCAGGAGCTTCCTGACTCAGCGGCAGCTGTGGGAGACCCAGCACCTGAACAAGAGCAGAACAGGAAGCGGAAGCGAAGACAGCACAAGGCAGCACAAAAAACTGCACAAGACAGCACAAGACAGCACGAGAGAGAATGAGACGGAGAGCACAAGCCGGTTCTGCGCCTGCCACAGCTCCGGGAGCCAGGCCTCCCAGCCGGTGTAGTAGCGGTCCTCGTCGCGGTCGTCGCCGACGCCGCGCTTCAGCAGGCGCTGGCCGCCCAACTCGCCCAGCCGGGTGTCGAAGCCGATGGCCGCCACGCAGAACTGCGAGTAGGTGGAGTCGCCCAGGCCGAAGACCGCGAACTTTGTGCCGGAGAGCCAGCTCATGGGCAGGTCCGCAGACTGCAGCTTCATCCAGGTCTGCTTGCAGTTGGCCGGGTACTCGCCCAAGCCGCAGGTGGACACCACCAGAATCACGATCTTCTGATTGGGCAATTCCTCGAAGTCGAAGTCGTCCATGGAGCTCACGGTGGCCTTGAGGCCACGGGCAATGATGTCCTGCATCAGGTTCTTGGCCTGCTCCTCCGAGTTGCCTGTCTCGCTGCCGTACAAGATCGTCACGGAGCTGCCGGCCGTGCTGGCATCCGAGAGGCCCTCCACCAGCTTGTGGAACTGGCCCTCCAGGTCCTCCTTGTTCAGCACCTGCAGGAGGTGGTTCTTCTGGACAAGTTGCTCCTTCAGCTTGTCATCCAGCTCCTGCGCATGCTTGGGGTCACGACGCATCACGGCCGCGAAGCGGTTCTCCTTGGCCAAGAACTTGAAGAGATCGCCCTTGATCTTCTTGCTGTCCAGCTGGAAGGGGTTGTTTCCGTGCGCGGCAAGCTCGGGATGGTAGCGGTAGAGCGGCCAGTAGCCGGAGTCCACCGCCATCTGGCAGTGCTGGATGGACTCCGCCATCGGGAAGCCTTGGCTGATGCACGGGGAGTACGCCAAGATGAGGCTCGGTCCTGCATAGGCATCGGCCTCCAGGAAGGCCCGGACGGCCTGCTGGGGGTTCACGTGCACGCAGATGCTTGCGACGTAGACGTTCTTGTAGGTCATCGCAAGCTGGCCCATGTCCTTCTTCGCCGTCAGCTTGCCTCCCTCGGCAAACTTCGCCATGGCACCCTTAGGCGTTGACTTGGAGGCCTGGCCGCCGGTGTTGCTGTACATTTCGGTGTCCAGCACCAAGATGTTCACGTGCTCTTCGCTGGCGATCACGTGGTCTAAGCCACCGTAGCCGATGTCATAGGCCCAGCCGTCGCCACCCACCATCCAGAAACTGGAGCGGCCGAACATGTCCTCCAGATCATGGAGACCCTTCAGCTTGGGGTGCGCGCCCTTCTCCTTCTCCAGCAGGGGCTCCAGCTTCTCCATGACTTGGTGGTAGATGCTGCGCCCGCGCGGCAACAGGATGTCGTGCATCTGCTCCTTGCGCATCACAAGGAACTGCTGGAGGGCCTGGCGGAGCTCGTCGGACATCACCACGGTCTTGTCGC